TATCAAAACTAGGGGTGAAATGGGTGGTGTCCTCATGGTTAAACAACAGTGTAAGTGTAGGAAGCAATGGGGTGGTTTTCAGAGTTTACTTATGAGTTTACTGATGGGGAGCACCAGTGACCTGTGATGGGAGCAGTGCTGCTCACAGGGAGCGCAGTGCAAGGGGGTAAAGCTGCTGCTTTGCACAATTAGTCAGGGTGGGTTGCAGAAAATTTTCAGAAGGATCTCTTGACACTGAATGACTCTGCAGCAAATTGCAGTTGAAATGTGAGATCGATGAAGGCAAAATAATGCACATGCAGGAGAAAAAAGCTAACAAGTTTGGACTTTATATTATCCTTTAACATCCAGGAAAGAGATCTTTGGATAATTAAAGAGAACAGTGCAGAAAGTATGATGACACCACTGATAAGCTTCTAGTGCAACCAGATGTTGAATATTTGTTCTAGTTCTGGCAATCCCACCTCAAAAAAGACATAATTGAGCTAGAAAACTTTGACAAAGATAGAACAGCTTCAGGATTAGCAAAAGTCTAAGTCTAGGCTGCTTCCACTTGGGGGGTGTGTGTGTGAATGAAAGGGTACATGAAGAGATTCATAAAATCACAGAAGGTGTAGAGAGGCAAGTGATTACTCGCTGTTACTCACAATATGATACAGCAATTGAATTATCAGTCAGAATTTTAAAAACAGACAGAAGGAAGTACTTTACATTGCCCATAATTAAATTGTATAGCTCATTACATAGCCTGCTGTGGAGACCAAGACTATAAATGGGTTCAGGGAAGGACCCAACACATTCCTAGAGTAAAGAACCATTACAGGCTATTAAGTGCAAAGGTCTGGAAGCAGCCGCCAGCTCAGGAAGTCCTTAAACTACTGATTACTGGAAACTGGGACTGGAGTATGTCAGGGGAAGGATCACCCAATTTGTGCCAGTGCTTCTCTAAACACCTGCTACTGGATGTTGTCAGAAATGGGTTGCTACACCAGACAGATTATTTAATATGACTGAAGTTCGCTTCTTTTATATCAAATGCAAAAAATATGGGAATTGATGTTGCAGTGAAATAATGGTTGCCCTGTGGTCAGCTCAAAAGGAGAACAGTACCTGCCCAGAAGTCAAGCTGGGAGCAGCGAGTTGCAGGGGCACAGTGCAGTCAGCAGAGATGCATGGGGAAAACTTAATGCCAGAGATTAGCCAGTACATTTTCTTCATTGCATTCATAAGCACCAAATTGCAGGAGTGAAAACCAGCTCGAAACAAACTCAGGTGCATATAACTTGTTCATACAGAGTACAGGTGCTGTCTGGCCTTGTACAGGGATTTTCAAGTTGTGATTGGCAAAGCTGAGAGCTGGCAAGTGTAGGGTTTATCTACATAGAATATTCACAGAAATTCAAAGCTGTTGTGACTTAAACTTCATTATACAAATGACTATCCCTTTCTCTGTAAACATGTAGATTAACTTTGAGAAACCTCTCTCCCAGCAGATGTCCTAGCCATGGGGTCTATGGAAGCCAGTCTCTGCGTTTTTACGTTCTCTCAATCCTGCAGCTGAGAGACTAACCCAATGGGAATTTATGCTTCTATGCAAGGGAGGTAATATCCCCAGCTTTGAAAAGGCAGCAACTCCAACACCAGTGACAACAAAAATGGCAGTCACATTCAGCACTAACTTACTCTTTCTCTTCCAAATAGATTTTTTTTCTAGCACTTACATGGGTTGCATACTATTGACTAATTGTTGTGATCTTTGAGGGTTCAGGTAAAACTGTGGAGTCTAAACAACTCATTGGAGTATATTTATATGCCTTCAGTGGAGGAAAAGGCTCAGTAAAGCCAAAGGCTGGGATATAAACTTAAATCTCCCCTGATAAAATATGTATCCTTTGATCTAATAAGTAGGTTGAGTCTCGCCTGACTTTTCAGCAAAATGCAAATCTAATGCTTTTAGAAAAAATCAGTGTAGTTGAATAGCTTGAATGTTTGATTGCTTTTGATTTTCAAGACAGTCAACTGCTCTGTTAAAGAATTTCCTTAGTGGTATCAGCTGTGGAATTAGTATCAGATATATTTGTTTGCTATATATTCGATGACATAGACATTAATGTTTACCCATGGTTGTTCACAATGGTGATGTGTTAGCTAAGTTGATAATAACATCCACCACAAATTATTGATTAATGGATATGAAAAAGTAATTTTCAAAATAGAGCTGATTATTTATGATGCAATATTTCCTAGCTGTTGGTTGCTACATCAGCAAGCTGGCTGCTGTGCCCATTTTAACAAAGTTGTGGACATCATAGTCTGAAGAATGGAATATATCATGAAACCACAGATGCACTTTTTATGGCTGTCTCTTATCAGGGGAACTGTGATTACTTTGGCTTCTATGGGAAAGGCTGACTGTCAAGCCTGTGTTCTCATTCATGCACTCAGCACTGTGGAGATGAAAGTGCTGGGAAAGATAACTAAAAGCCAACCATGCTACCTTGCTATTGGAAAAGTGACAGGTGGTGAAATCTGTTATTTAAAGTAATATGAGATATGATCACCTGGTTACTCAGCATCTGTTATCAGATTTGTGCTACCTTCTCTTTCCCCCCATTTTTCCCTCTCTTGTCTGTCTTACACTTATTAGAATGCCATGTGCTTACTGTTTAGCTTGACCTCCTTTGTTAATGGGAAAGGCTTCTGGGGTGCATGCAGTGTGTTTTGACACTCTGTGTCTCTGTTATGAGACAAAGTTCTGATAAGAAGCGGTGTAATAATATGTATTTTTAGCGTGCCCCTGGGCCTTAGGGTCACTTCTGGCTGGCTCATGCAAATTTGCAATCCCTGAGATAATTTTAAGGCTTTTATGTTAAAACAGACCTGAAAAAAAATAAAGGTGTTGCTGTCATGCCTGTGGTTTGTGTGCTTTCCAGACAAAGCCGTAAATTCAGCTTGGCATGCAGAGGAAGGGCAGGCTGTTGGCACAAAACTGTGCCAGGTCTCCCCCAAAAGGCTCATCAGCCTCAGCTTACTCTTAAAGAAATGTGGGCCAAGTCTCAGGTTCAGCTGTGGGAGGCTTGCACATCTCTAATTCTGACTTGAAATAGCATCCAAGGCTTGATGCTGAGATATCTGTAGCCATTCATTAGGCATATTTACCTTCCTCTGTTGTGAGGGCAGTAGGTTTGCTTTACCCCTGTCAGTGATGCAGAGTGGAAAATGTGATACTGCCCTATTTCCACCCAAATAAACTATCATGTTATAAAACCACAAATAGACACAAGAATGTAGTCTTTTGTTTAGGAAGCCTGAATAACTACATTGATACTGAAAACAACATGGAAGGAGACTACCAAATATTGAAAGTTTTCTTGAAAAATATGTTTTTAGAAAATGTTTGGAGTTTCTTGTGGTTTATTTCTCCAAAGCCTTAATCTAGTCATTGAGATGGGTGGCTTATGTTGTACTGATATATTTGGCATAAAATCTTTCTTGCTAAATTGTTTCCTCCTGATACAGTGTCAGGTGGTAAAAGTCTTTTCCTTGGTGTTTTTCTCTCTACTGGGTTTCTGTCAAATGCAAGATATCTTGGAAGAAACCCTTAATGTCAATGTCTTGCCTGCTTTAAAAAGAAAGGGGGCATTGAATGATCAGAGGCTGATGTTAATGTTCTGAGTTGTTCATGCTACCCACACGAAGGGGGATTTAAGAGATTCTGATTCAGTTCTCTTGGTTTTTCCAGAATTGCACTGAGAGCAGTGAGGCTTCCAAGCTCCTTTACTATGGATATGTATAGCACTGTATATTTTCAGGACAATGAAAAGATTTATTTAGCATATGGCTGACCTGGATTGTCTCCACTGGCTCGATTGACCTTTATTGCCTTGGGACAGTGGTAAGATTAGGAGATGCTATAAATAGCTGTTGCACTGTGGGAGTGGTATCACAAAAATGCACTTTACACAAACAGACTGTCATTTCACTTTGTGGAGGATGTGTGTATTTGGCTTACAAAGGGAGATATCTCCCTGAGATGATTTTTGTCCTCTTCTGAATCACTGCAGCCGAAGCTGTGAGATTATTTTGACCACTGCCATCAGGTTCTAATATATACAATGCAATAATGTTAAGAAGCTTTAGGAAACTGACTGTTCATGTGCTGCTGAGCTTTGTATTGGCAGTGTACTGTGCTTCCACCTTATGGCTCACTGTTGGAGGCAGCTCTGTCAGGGCTGGATGCCTCTAGGGAGACAGGCAGTGGATACGCCCTCAGTGCTGTGCAGCCAGCATCAGAAGGGGTTCTGGTCACTATCTATGACTTCTGAAGGAGGCCACATCTGTGCCTTCAGAGCTGTGAGATAAAATTGAAATATAAGTGGAAAGAAGCTGTAGTACCTTGGGGGATGCTGATAGGATCAAAGAAGGTAGTAGTATATGATTCCTCTTCCTGGTGAACTGATGTCCCCATGTCTTGTTTTACATAGTTGGATGCTGAATGGATGACTTTTTCTAGTCTATAAACTAGGTAAAAGCAACAAGTGTTACATTCTTTGTATAAACTCATATTTCATTTCTTCTATAAAAGGTGTTTGTAATTATGCATAAATTGATTCAACAGATTCAGTTGGTGTGTAAGGAATAGGTGTAATGCATGAGGACTCCACAGAAACTGGCAAACATAACCATATACAGTCCACTGGGCTTGATATTTCAGCTTAATGCCAGATGAGTAACTGATCTTCATTAAACAGTAATTTCCAGTGATCACATTACTTTTTTCTTTTCCTAAACTGCTTTAGCAGAAGATGGCATTCAAGCACCATTTCACTGAGGCTGAAATGAGATGCAGTGCTACCTCTTCTGATTTCTGGAGAAGGGTGGGGTGGATGTTGGGTAATTATATTGGAGATAGATATGTATATATATATATGTTATGTATACACTCCATTTATTTGTGTGTTGTTTTTTTTTCTTTTTTTCTTTTCAACTTGCAGGAAAGCAATCTCCAGGTCAGGCCTTCAGCACTTGGCTCCTGTGCATTCCCTCAACATTGCAGTCTCCAATGGACCAGTGAAGGAACCAAGAGCAGCCTTAGAGTGGACTGTAGGTATTTGGGTTTTTGGCAGTTAATTTGAGCAGTATCTCTAGTTAGTGCTCTCTCCATCATTGCATCAACATAAGACATTGTGTTGCTATCAGAATTAGTGCCAGTCATTAGGAACATGCTTCTATTATGAACTGAAGCACAAGGCAGAGACATGAAAACTTGTGGGGACTTGAGCAACACAGGACAGAGCTGTTCAGATTTTCCATCTTGGAAGCTGCCTGACTACATTTGCTCACTTCCCTCTTGAAAAAGTCTGCTACCAAAGGTTGATCTTACTTTAGCAAAGCAGGGTTTTGTTCCTCTGCTCAATGGGCTAAAGTTTAAGGCTGAAGACTCATGTCAAGTTGGCTGTGTCTGTAGAATAGGTAACTGAAATCTTTGGTTACAATTCTCTGTAGGTATGGGTAGATTTCTTCTGGGCCCAAGCTGGTGTATAGACACAGAGAGCATGTTTCCATCCCTCCTACTTTGCTTCTTTTGTGTTTCTGGGCTGACCAAGGCTGACCAAAAGTTAAAGCAGGTTATTAGGGGAATTGTCCAAACTTCTTTTAAAGACTGGCAAGCATGGGGCATCTACCTCCTCCCCAGGAAGCCTGTTCCAGGGTCTGACTATGCTCTCTGTTTTCTAATGTCAAGTCTGTGCCTCCCCTGCCACAGCTTTGAACCATCCCCACACACCTTACATGTGGTTGTGCACTGGTACGAGCTGAGAAGGTGAACTGTAAGCCAGCAGGTCACACAAATGACCCATTTAAAACAAAGCATACATTGGATTTTACACTGAGCTACTGGTGAAGAACTTGGTGCATTGCAGTACCAAGGCACCAGCCAGCCAAGTGGCTTTTAGGTGAAGATAACGTTTGATTTGATGAATATGGCTTATGTTTATCTTTGTTCTCTATACCAAAACTGAATGGCTTTCTAGATTGCTTGCTCTCCTTCAGCCCCAGCTGTTGCATTTGAAGTTTAAGGGGATGAAATTTTACAGGTTGTGTTGCAGGAAGTTGGATTAGATTCACTAGGATGTTCTGGAGTTTGAAAGCTTGTATAGAATCCTCTTTGAAGTGCTTTGGAGAATACCTTGATCTTTCATTCCCAAAAACCCAACCGCTGATTCAGCAAGGTAGTAAAAATGTCTGGTTTAAGTCATTGCTGCTGTTTAGTAGAAATCTGAAGGATCAGTCACGTAAGTGAAGGGTTAGGCACATTAGGCTAAGTTAAACACATTTCAAAACTGTACTTAGAAAAACCCAAGAGCAACAAAATGCCAAAACAAAAACCCTGAACCCCAGGTCCAACAATCACAGCTTGCCCTTTGTCAAAGTCAATTGTCTGCTACTCCTTTTACCAGATGGTTCCTCTTATGATCCTAATACATAAATATTGCAAGATTTGCTATTAGTTGGTAAATATTGATTAAATATTGTGGGTTCTAATTGTGTTTGTGTGCTGTTTTGGCGCTTTACTTCCTGGCTTATGTTTTAGATTTTTGATCAGTTCAATTTCTTAGCAGTTTACAGCCTCTCAGGTTGATGCTGCTGTTTTACTTCACATTTTATTGGAGAAGGGAGACAACCCTGTGGCATATGGGAAAAAGGGACAGGATAGTGAGTGACAGACATCTGTGGCTGTGAGGAGCCTGAACTGACCAGCTGTAGTAACTGGTAAATGAGAGAAAGGTATTTCTCAAATCTATGGCACAGTAAATGTAAAAAATAACAGGGAGGTGGTTTGGAGATGTGGGGAGATTGAGATGGGCCAAAATTTTATAACAGGTAGTGAATTTCAATAAAGAAAAAGCCCTAAGTTTTAAATTATTTTAAGTCCAAAGGTGTATGTGGTAGAGGGAGAAGATATTTTGATTAAGATGTGTCAGAGCCAGACAAGAAATCTTTGTATTTAGTCACTAGAAGGCAACATTGATCATTGTGTGTTGGATCCCCATCTATTCCATCCTGCTCTTAAGTATTTCTGAGGCTGATTCTCCAAGGACCCATGATGGGAGATCTTTCCAAAGTCTAAACGACGTAAACATAAATTGTCACTTGACTTAGCAGGGAGGAAATATTTTCTCCTGCAGTCTTCACGGTAATAACTGGAAAGAATTCCCTGGCCATTGCCTTCATTTTTGAGAACTCCCAGCAGGTGATTTGTCATTATCAGATGGTCTTGTGAACAGGACATTGATTCAGAGAGTGGGATTTCCGTTCTCTGCTCTGTCACTTACCTCGTGAGTGAGCTCAGATGAATTGTTTTGCCTCTCAGTACATCAGGCACTCTAGCTGTAAAACAGAGGTGATGATTCTCATATCCCTTAAGACCTTTTACAGAAAAACCAGTATTCTTTATTATTGTTGTTGCTACTATCTGTCTTCCCTGAGGTTTCTTTTCTCTGACATAACTGCGAGTATCCAGTTTCATCACATTTGTTACACTTAATTCAAGTTAACTTGTAGTTTTGCTGTATAATTTAATGTTATCTTTTCACACCAGGGTGATACAGAATATATTTTCTGGAATAGGTGATATTATAGCCAGAGGGGAGTGCAGAGTATGCCTTACCAAAAAAGAACCAACTTAAATGACTGTTCCTGTGATATGTTTATGCATATCCCCTTCTCCCACCCTTGCCCATTTTAGACATCACTCCCATGTGTTAATAATAAAGTAATTCTAGACCAGATTCTCAAGTAAGTACAGACTGAGCCACCTCATACAGTGCCTTTGTACCCTTAAGGATCTAGATCTTTGTGTATTTTTCTACTGCCCTTTACTACAAAGGAATATTACCATAAGTTAGCACACAAAGTCCTCCTCTAATTTCCTTTTAAGTACTGCCTTCTAGCTCTTGCTTTCTTTGGTGCCTACAAAAATATTGATAGCCATGAGGATACTAATGTGTTGAAGTTCACACCAGCCAGAAATAAATTTTTTTTTGGTTTGGGGTTTTTTTGTTTGTTTGTTTGATTTGTTTTGTTTTGTTTGTTTGTTCATAGTGCATTTTTTTCTGTTGATGTCCATTTCTTGTCTTCTCCCATGACACGATGACTTAGAACCCTGGTTATATCTCATAAGTGGCATTTGAAGATATGCAGCTTTCATTCTTGGAGGTCAATGAAGAAACTTGACTGATCCTTGCTTTGTGTTCTGTGAGTGCACAATCAGAGTTCTCTGCGTGCAAGTTGAATGTTTATTAAAACCTTATACCATACATTATATGTATAAAAAGCAAAGCCAAAAATCTTATAGATCTTAACAAAACCAGAAAACTATGTGTTGGAGTAGAAGTTGAAAAGTGGCATTTAGCAAGATGTGGAATCAGACTTAGCTCAGGAGGGTTGTAGAAGGCACCACCCGATTCCACACAGATGGAGTAAGGAAAGCCAGACCTCATCTAGGGTAGAATCTAACAGGAAGAGGAAGGTAGGAACAACAGGAAAAATGTTGAATTGCTGCTGAATGGGGCAGGAAACGCGGCACGGATGATCAGGTTAGGGAATACTTAGACTGAGTATACAAAAGTCCATGGGACCTGATGAGATGCACACAAAAGTGCTGAGGGAACTGGCTGATATCACTGCAAGGACAGTCTGCTGTCTTTGAAAGGTCATGATGGTCAGAGGAGGTACCTGAGGACTTCAAAAAAACAAATGTTAATTCTACCTTTGAGAAGGTCAAGGAGGATCCAGGGAGCTCCATACTGATCAACCTTACCCTTCTTCCTGTGAAGGTGATGGAGCAAATCCTTTTGGAAGTAATTTCCAAAAATAGTAAGAATAAGAAGTGATTGAGAGTAGCCAGCATTGACTTGTGGAGGGGACATCATACCTAACCAACCTAACAGACCTCTATAATTAAATTACTGACTTGATAGATGAGGGGAGAGCAATGGCTTTTATGTTGACTTTTGCAAGATTTTTGACACTATCTTCCATAACATCCTTGTGGAAAAACTGATGAGGTATTGGCTAGATAAATAGACAGTGAGGTGACCTGTATCATTGAGGTATTTGTAATAAGTGAATGTGACTTCGCAATGAATCTGCTGCATTATATTCTGTATCTTTTTGGCATTAATCAGTAGTTCTGTCCACTTACTTTCATGGACAGTAGGTGTTCGGAAGTGCCTAGTGATGTATTATACTTTGGATAATTAATGTGTGTGCTAATGCAGTAATCCATGTTTTACATATGATGAAACAGTTCCCTCAATCTAGATAAATTTATTTATTTTCCCCATGGATGGTTTGGCTTCTGCATCATAAGTTCCTAAAAGCTATACTAACTTTTACACTGAAGGATACTTCCCTTCCATTAGAGTGTCTGCAAGACTAAGTTTTGTATTTGGGAACTGAGTATTCAGTTGAAAAGAGATGTACATTATCAGATCACTCATGAGAAAAGGAGATCCCTGGGATGTGGGTATTCCATTAGTCACATAAAAACATGTAGAAGTGGTAAGAATTCTAGTTCCATGTAAGTAAGTTGTGATGAGTGCAAGCTCTGTGCATACTTAAAAATTGCTGAATTTTTTTGTGTTCTGGATAAGTAGTTCTACTTTGCTGTTTATTTTTCACGAAGATTTGAGAATATTCTTTCCAGAGAGACATCTAAACAGAAAAAAGGTCTGTCATATTTCAAAACAGTGGCCATAGCTTTTTATTTTTCCAGTGGTATTGAGGACACAGCGATAATGCAGAAGATGCCCTACCTGAAACTAAGTATTTTTCTCATTGCTGAAGGAAAGCTGTTATCAGACAAAATAATGGTTCATAAGGACATAGGGAATCATCATCTCAGTTGATAGCATCTGGACATTGCTCCTCCATGAAGACAAATGTTGTTATTCTGCTTCTGTATACAGATGATCTCTCAGATGATGGTTATGAGGATCTCAAAAGCTCAGAAGAGAATACAGGGCAATTCATGCAGGGAAAGGAGAATGGCAGAAAAAGGAACAGAATGTGGTGAACCAAGACCTAGAAACTGAACACCTGAAAATTCTGAAAGTTGCAGCCTACATATTTTCATGGTTTTTTGAAGTAACATTGTAGTAGCATAAGTCCATGCTGGTTTTTTTTTATTCTATGCCCACGTATTACATTTGTAACTAAAAAATTGATGACTTCTATATGAAAAATGTTCCTGAATTGAAATTTGCTAGGGTGGAGTTAAAATTGAGAATGTATATCAACAGAAAAACCTTTGAGAAATTGTTGCTGTTTGCAACATGAGTTATTACAAAGTCTGGAATTTTAGAGTTGAGGTTGAAACACAAATCAAACATGATAGAAAGACATTTGGAGAAAAGACATCCAAATAAATTTGTTTCTGCTCAATAACCACCTCATAAAGAAAAGGGCTAAAGCTAATAATTTTTGCTTACAAATATGTTTAATTAAGTTTAGATTGATGAGCACTACTTTTGTACTAATCATAAGTATCACCCAAATGCTTATTTCCAAGAAGATTCATCTCTCTTGATGGAATGTTAACAAAGGGAAAATTTTCTTAATGGCTTATTTTAGAAATCTGTCATATATTATTTTGCAGAATGTCAGTCAAGGCAGGAGTGGAAGAGAGCTCCATTCTTCCTGTTACAATTGGAGTTATGACTCTTTTGAACTAGAAGTTTGGGCTGGCTGGTTTATTTGTTTGTCTGAATAGCCATAGCTGCTTGACATGGCAAATTAAAACAGTCAGGTCTATCTGCAGTGGTTTTGAAACCATGCTGACTGCAGCCTGACGAGCAGTCAGGTATGGAGATACTTGAGGGCTTTAGAAAAATGGTAACTCGTGTTCTGTCATTTAACTATGCTGGAGCACTTGAAGAAACCCAGTTGAATTAGTGAAATGTACACAGCAAGTTATGAACACGAGCATGTAATTACACCGTTCCCAAACTCCTAGTCCTTGAATTCTTATTTCCACTTCACGGGGGATTGTGGGTGGGTGTTGTTTCATATGTTTGCTATACTGAAACTATTTTTGTTTGCTATTAAGGTGGTAACAGATCAGGAGCAATCAAATGGGAGGTCTCCATCTGGGGGAGCATATTGAGTTCATGTGTCCCCTGTGAGGCAGGCTGCATCTGCCAGGAAAGCACTGCTGTCTCCGCTTCAGTGAGCAGGGGCTCTTTTTCTTCCCAGGACGCTGAGTTCACACACTTGTGAAGGCTGGGAAGCCAGGCGAGGAAAGAGAGTTCCCACTTTTCTTTTTAGCACCAAAATATTAGGCCGCAGTCATTTCTGTTTTATCCACAATGATGGATAAAATCCATTTCCACATAGCAAGTCACAGCAAAACATGCCAGCCTGAAAGCATGATTTGACAGGTCAGCTAAGCTGCCCTAGCACTCAACTGGTACCGAAAGCATCAGTTCCACTGAACCCATCTTTAACCCACCCCTCCTTGTGTCAGATCCAGCAGTTATGTGGTCACAGGGTGAGTCATTTTGTCTAACTGTTTTGGTGGATAAGGCATCTATTTCTTTCCATTCTGTGTGTAGCTTTACAGCCACCAGATTTGGCATGAGGAAAATGGCAAGAGCATGAGACTGAGGTTGTGGGTTCAGGGACAGAAGGAGAAGAACTGCCTCTTTAGAAGCCATTAATTTCTAAAACCAACGTAGACACATCAAGTAAAAACTAAACCAAACTGGCAAATTTTTAATGAAAAAAACCCCTCTGTATCAAAATATACAAGTGATGACAGAGCCTTTACTGTGGTTTAGCTTTGTGTTAAACAGGAGCTCATACTAGAGGTGATCCCATGGACGTCTATCAACTTATGTATTGGTAGATGGAGAAGAGTACCCTTTCATCCATCATGTTGTGGAATACTGCCTGTAAATTTTGCAGCAGAAAATACTGTTTTGTTGCAGTCAAAGTTCTTCATGGAAATGTATTGATTTTTGTAAAAAATTTCTGTCAGAATTGAATGAAAAGTTTGGCTTAGAAAAGGTCAAAGCATTTTCCTTTGACTATATCATCTTGATTTTCATATGTGGCAACAGAATGTCTCATCGTATAAATGACAGAGCCCTGTAAAATTTAAAACAGCAAAGTTCAAATAATTCCCTTTGACCTTATTGAGACAAATTAATAGACAGGAAAAGATTTTTGAGGGAGGGCATTTCATCTTGAGAAGTCTCAAGTTTTGCTCTGATTCATGATAAAAGATTTTTCCAATGTCAGTTTACTGGAATTGAAATTGAGTTTTTACACACAGTGCTGTGAAATTGTTTGTGGCAGTAGGTATCTGGAGGTATTTCCCTCATACCAGGTGAGGTTTTTTACATTTTTGTTACCTAGTAGTGTCAGAACTCTATCATAGCATGAACTACAAAGTTCATCCTTGTAGACTACTTCCTAATTTTATTTACATGGTGATGTAAAGTTAGACATATAAATCTATGATACAGTCTGGAACAATAGAGAACAACCTCAATCAGTCTAAACTAGGTTATGGAAATAGGCCACTTCGTCTTTAGAAATCCTGATGGCAAGTTATGTGGATGTTGTCCGAATGAAGGAGTGTTTAATCTATTTTTTAATGTAATTTTTATTCCTTGTTTAAAATTATGTTCCAGGAGCTGTGTGCTTTCTCACTTAACTTTCGGAGTTGATCTTTCCTAAACATCTTTTATAATCTACAGAATTTACCTCTGAGTTGTAATCTTTGCACTGTTTTGTCAGCAGAGAACATGCTCAGGTCAAGCACTCTTTGGTGAACTCATATCCTGCTGCTTTGGTCCTCTTGTCTCACTCCTCAAGAGCTAGAGAGTATGTTAATATGTTGGGCAATACTGTGGGCATAGTAATTTTATTAGTATGTGACTAGGCCTCCATGATGTGCTGTAAATCCAAGATAGTTCTTGCCAGAGAAAATAGCTGTAATGCAAGGATAAACATGAGAGAAAGAGTTCACAATCTGAGTAATTTACCCTCTAAGAAAGGCTTGAAGAATTATTTAAGCTAGTACGAGTGTTTAGAAGCTATTTTGCATTATAAAAGTGTTGAAAAGTCCCACCTAAACTATTGTACTCTGATCTGTACAGTTTAGGAAACTCTCTGTCCCAGGGGGTCTACAGTTCAAGTGGATAGACAGACAAAAGCATGATAAGAAATGGAGGTATAGAACATTGTGCCACCAAATGAAGATTAATCAGGGTGCAATGGCAGTAGATTGGAATCCCAGTCTCACTCTCATCTGGGCCCTTGTGCTGAGGGATAATACTGAGTCTGACACCAGTGGGAACATTTCTGATGAAATTAGAAGACCTGTAGGCAGATAGACCTCTCACTAGGAAAAAAAACTAGTGTTGGTCTTGTCCTCTTAGTTTATTTGAAGTGAACACCACAGTTGTGGTAGAACCATGTGCAGACTTGCATAGGTCCTGGCTGTTGTGGATGCATGCATACTCTAGAGAACAAAGGATTTTGCCACTTCTGCTTTTCTCCATTACCTAAGAAATCCACATGGCAAGAGAAGTTTTCTCATTTTATCACTTTGAAACTGTCAGTGGTATTTTAAATAAATTATTTTATCCAAGATGGCTATTTCAGAGCATCCTGCTGTCGGACGCCATCTGTTTGGTAAACGTCATCATTTGTGACTTCTGCAGTGTGGGAACCAAATGTCAGACTGTCAAAGCATTTTCTATCATGCTCTAATTCTGGCTGAACAGAAATCCTATTTATTCACTTTGCTCAAGTAGTGTACACTAGACTTTTAGGCTTTTTAGTCATGCCAGGATTACAGTCAAGTGAAAACCATGGTCTATCTACAACCAAATTTCCTTAGAACAAGAATTTTTATAGAATTAAGGTACAAATTGGATCAAATGAGTCTGTCAAGGCAAAGTCAGATATCACCCAGTTGATCACTCCTAATTGTCAGTGTGCTCAGTTGAATGAATTATTCTTTCATATATAAAGTCTGGTCTCTCCTGGCGGCTTAATGGTTTGTTGATGTATTCACATAGTGTTGATCCAGCCATTTTAAAGAAAGCATTTTCCCATGACTAAATTATCTCATCCTCCTAAAGCTATAGTCAGTGTGTTATTTTTCACTCCTGGGCCCAGTTCTCAAATTTTTGGGCCTCTCCACTTGAAAGTTCAGTAGCTGTGTTTTTGTTTCATCTTTCTTGATTTTCTGTTTCTTTAAAATTCTGTGTATATCTCATGCTTACAAAATCTAAATTACCAGTTAAACTATGCAGCATGTGGGAAGAACATCGGTAAAGTTTCACTGAACAGTGCACAAAAATACTTTGGTTTCATTGGTGACACATCATTTTATCATCAGCATCCTTTGAGCAGGGGTGGCCAGCCAGGTAATACTGTTATGTACTATGGCTTTGTGCTGTAGAAAACCAAAACAACACCTAATGGTGTGGTGGTTGTTTTTCATTTGTTTTTTCTAGTTTATTTTAGTTTTAAAAATTTGTGTTGCAGATCAGACCTTTTTTTCTTTTTCCCCTCTCCTCTCTCTGTACTCACATGGCTGAATTTCACAAAACAGATTAACAATCATCTTTTCTCAGGAAAATGCTGTGAATGGAGAGCATCTGTGGCTAGAGACAAATGTTTCTGGGGACCTCTGCTACCTGGGGGAGGAAAGCTGCCAAGTCAAATTCTCAGTGAGTTATTTTCAGATTTCTTTTTCTCTTTCTGAGGTAACAAGCCTGACTTCAGATTGAAGCAGTGCTCAGTTGCTTGGGAGCTCGAATTGTTTGCCTGTGTTCCAGAAGGAATACAAAAGGGGCAAAAGGCTACTGTTAAAGACTTCATTTCTTGGGGAAAAAAGCCCAAAACAATTTTGAGTGACCCAGATTATTTACACAGTGAGAGTGTATGCAATCAGCAGCTTTAAGAGAAAAGAAATTAGAATATCGAGATGTTTCAGAAATGTTCAAAGAAACTAGTCTATTTTACACAAGCACATACACAAATATATCACTTATTGCAGTCTCTGAGAATATGGTCTGATCAAATTTTTGTGATTTTAATCACTGCAAGGATTTTAACTGAATTTTCCAAACTCCTGAGTGCACTCACCAACAATGAGTGAACTCATATTCGAGTGTTTACTTCCTTCTATTCGAGAATATTCAAGATTAACCTTCTCCTATTGAAACTTCTCTGCTGTGTATGAAAATGTTTCATTGGATTGATCTCAAACCTGTGTGTGTCTCTGACTGGGAAGTCACTGTTACACTTCCAGTCTCCTCCAGGGGCACTTCCCTTAGTGTTTCAGTTAAATTGCTTCACCAAAAGAGAAGAAAAAAACCAAACCTCCTTTATTTTGGTATTTAGGAAGCCACCATCTTTTTGCTTTTATTTAAAAAAATCCACACTTCAGAGCATTTAATTCAAATCAAAGCCTTTTGATTTACTAACCACCCCGAGTTTTTGAGGCACTTTGATCCCAAATATCAGTGCTTTCTGTAGCACAAATTTAATATCCTTCTCCCGAAACTTCTCAAGTGAATTGGTTACTTCACAGCATATAACAGTAAGGCCAAGCCAGAGAAGTCTGTACCTCCTTCAGAATTCCAAGGCGAAGTCCCAACAAACTGCTGATTGTTGGTAATATTCAAGGGAAGTGTCACTGTGTGTTTTTGGTCCTGAGGCACTGGAATTTGGTGAAAGCTGGAGACAGGACTTGTTTGGTTGAGTGGACCTTTGGTATGATGGTTCTGATGTTCTTGATAGAAGTTTGCCTTTCTAAAACTGAGTAACTAGTTCCTCATGATTTAGCTCATTAAAAGTAGAGTGGAAATTTAGTAATATGTTGCATATGATTTGCAAGGTTGTGTATTCTTGGTAAACACAGAGATAAAAAACATACTTGAAGTTATCAAGTCACAAAACATGTGAAAGCTCAGTCTGCTATACAATGTCATGGTTCTTCAGATGAAAGATTATAACACCCCTCCACATACATGTGAATATGTACAGTTAGGGTGTATCTGGAGAATCAGTAAAGTTATTATAATTATTCCATAAAATGAACTGAAACTGTGTTCCCTGTTCCTTCTTGAGCTTATTTAAATATGTTGAAAATTCTAAAGAAATAATTTATTAGAGATTTAAATGGACATGAATAAATTGAATGCAAAAATCTGAAGAAAAGAAATCTCAACTTACTGTGTATAAATCTTTTGTCCCTAAAGAACAAGTCTGTAAGTTAAATTTCTATGAAAATTAATTCCACCTGATTAATTAAATTGAGTTTGTGGAAGTAAAATAAGTCAGTATATTCTCTCTTCTGGATGCATTCTCTTGCCTTTGATATGCCTTGGCCCAGGGGAGTCCATGGAAATTATTTTAAAATTACTGAAATTACTACTGAAATTAATAAAACTAACCAGCATAACTAAGAATTTTGTCCCTGCTGTAGCATATCATAAGCATTTAAAAGCATTCTCTGAGAATTTTATCATTCTCTGCTAAATAACCCAAGTACCCAGGTATTTTCCTGCAAGTCAGTGACTTGGCCTATCAAATTAATATTAATTATTCATAATTAAATATTATATGATAAGCATGAAGTGACCTACTCTTGTGAACTGATCGGAGTTCTGTGATTTGTGTGTGTAATTTTTCACCTCTTTTCACTGGCTCTGCTCATCATCTTCATAGGATGCTGCCCTTTATAGTGATGCTCTGCAGTGTTAACAACCTGATCTGCTACCCGAAGGGAAATTTTTACTTCTAGTTCACAAACTGGAGTACTGTGGCTGTCTTTTTCAGAAAGTTCAGTTTTTAACTGAAAGAGCTTCAGACCTTTTTATGTATTTATTTACTTTTCGGTGCACAGAACAGTTGAAAGCACCAAGAGAGAAAAAAAAAAAAATGTATGTTGCACGAGGAGCGAAACATCTCTTGTTTCACAGCTAACTTTCTTTTCCCTCCTGGGAATACCACACGTCTCCCTTTCCTCTTGCAGAAATCCGCTCTGCGGAGGAAGTGTGCCGCCTGCAAGATTGTGGTCCACAATGCCTGCATGGAGCAGTTAGAGAAGGTAAGACATTGCCATCTTCTGGAGCCTGCTGTAACCAACACTCTTTTAATTCTTTTTTTCTGAGATTTCAGCCTGGAAAACACTGTATGCCAAATTAAGTTTTCATTGCTGTTTAAACAACGCACTTGTTAAAAAAATATGACTTAAAATTCCAGCTTTTTTTTTTTTTTTAAGTGTATTTCTTTGAATCCCATGAACCATAAAAAACCCCAAACCAACAAAATCCAAAAGTAAACCAAGAACAAAAATTACAGAATGTTTTCACAGTTCTAATGTTTAAAAAATAAATTCCCTCTACTTCTAGATTAAAAATTGAAGCTAGAAAATGGAGTATCCTGTCATGTACAAAATTGGCCTTTCAAAATTTCCCAACTAAAGCCAGCATAATTTATTGTATGACAGCAATATTTATTATGAGCAATGCAGCATAAGATGCTACTGTGAACATTTTCCCCTGTATTTACTAGACTCTACTGTTTTCTCTTCAAAACTTCAGAAATTAAATTCTTGTCTGTTAAATGGAAAACATCAACCCTTTCCTTTATAGTGTCATTATTTCTGTTAGTGTCTCTCCTGCTTCTCATTTCCTTCAAGGATCCCTCATCACACCCAAGCACCTATAGAATATCTATCACTGACTTCAGTCTTCCCATCAGTGATTTGTCTTCATTATGACTAATTGGAAATGTGCTAAAGAAATCTCCCCCCACCATTTTCATTCCTGGTGTGAAATGTGTAAAGAAATATGTGTGGGAATTTCCCCATTGCTTTCATTAGAGCTTCATTTTCACTCCTATATGTTTAGCTATGTTGTTCTTCATAAAAGAAACTGATGCATAACAAATTTATAGCAGCAACTCTTTGGAAAGGGTATTTTCCTTTCTGAGTGCTTGGACTCATGTTGACAAATGCCACAGTGATTGCCATAAAACCAAGTTGGAGAGGTACCACTTCCACCCCCGATGCTTTTATCCACAGTGAAATTAGCATTAGCACATGCTTTCAGCACAAAATGTTACCAGTGAATTTTTCATGACTTCCTCCATCAGCAGCAGTGCTGACTCTCTATAGCCCAGTGAGCTGGTGGCATTGCCAGACGGAGCAAATGAGCACTTAGATAAAAAACCCTTTCTGTTGAGCTTGTTTATGACATTTTGGAGACCATGAAATCCATTTCTTGGCAGAGGGTTGTTATAAAGTCTGCATCCCTCTTAAACTCTGTGGAGTTTAAAGCTGGTACATAAGTCTTCTTCTTAGCCCTTTCTGCAAAGGTGCAAGTTGTAAGCAAAATAAAATATAAATATAAGCTGTGTGTCTTTCCAACCTGCCATGACTGAGCAATGAAACACCAAATTGCAATTCCAGGTGAACAGCAGTGAAAGAAGAGTAATGTAACAATGTCTTTCATTTCTTTTTAAGTAATAGGTATTTTGTTTACTTCTTTCTTTGAAGGCTTTTGTTGTGTTTTTGGTTTTTTTTCTCCCTAGAGCTATTATTTTGAAGGCCATTATTAAATGAGGGAAGAATTTATTTATCTGGGGAGAGTTGTATTTAAATTTGGAGAAACTTGATCCCTCTACCTTCATAACAGAGGCATAGCTGTGCATTATTCTTAAATGTTTTATTCTTTGAAGGATAGTCAACTTAAGCCTGAATCTGTTTTGTCTAGTACATCCTTACTTCATGTATCCTTTGGTCTTTTCCAAGACCTGTCTCTTCTTCAGTATATTTTTTCCCTTTCTACATCTCCCCCATTCTACTCTTACTTCTACTGATTTTCTTTTCTTAAAACTTTTTCTTTCTTTTTCATAGGACTTTTCTCTTTTTCAATAAATGCTTTTTTTTCTCTCCACCTTTCTAAAAATGTTTTCCATTCATGAAAGCTCCTGTTATCCTCTTTGTCTTTCCCATCTGAAGCTGGCAATACCACTGCATGAGGCAGTACAATGCTCCCCAAATGGTTTGTGGTTGGGGAGGTGAATGAAAACATCCTGATCTAATGAAAAGGTAGAAATTTATGGTAATTTACATGATTCTTTATCTGAATGATGATTTCTCTGCAGATTTTGTTTATGAAGACATTAAAATGGGATGTGCAAAAAAGGTCTAACAGTTAGATTTCTAGCACCTACTAACTTCTGAGACCTCAGCTGAAGTCTGCATTTGTTTGCAAATGATCTTCAGAAAAACAAAACAGATGAAGCAGCTTTCTTCTAGAGGGAGGAGGTGGTTTAAATAGTTGAACTGAGCAGGCAGCCAATAGCATTAGTGAAGATGAGGGCTGTGTAGAGGTCTAGGAAGGAGAATTAATATGGCATAAGAGAGATTTTTTTCTGACATCCAACTTAGTTACTTTTTTTTCACCTAGTGAAGCTAATATTTTAATAGATAATAAATATTTTGGAAGTCTGACCTAGATAAAAATACTGGAGTAAATTGTGCCTTAGCTCACTTGAAGTTCTAACAGTTTTATTTCAATGCCAGATTAATTTTCGCTGCAAACCGACTTTCCGAGAAGGAGGATCCAGATCTCCAAGAGAAGTAAGTAATGGATAAATGATCATCACTTTTCATTTTACATGTGTGCTGATCCACCTGGTATGGTGCTGCTAAAGTGCTTTTAGATTCAGAGGACTTTTACACATTGGTTCCCAGTGGAACATGTTCTCCTCGCCAGAATAAATGTGAAATGAATTGTAGCCGAAGGACTGCATTACTAACATGGACAGGAACCATTTCATCTTTTTGTTCTCTTTTTTTCATTAATTCAGCTAGTCTGTCTTTTTCTTTGTTTTTTGGTAGCATTTTTTTTTCTTCCTGGCATTTTAAATTTTTTTTCTTTATTTCTCTCTCTCTTGCTTTCCCATTGTCTTTTTTTTTCCTTCTAGAAGTACCTCAGACATAAAATCAGACATTCAAAAACCTTATGGTTTACATCCAGCTACTGTATGAATTCAGCTCCTTTGAAGGTTTTGAAGGTGTTTATAGTTATTACTAATATATTTTTAGATCTGTCTTACACAGTTAAAAGCCAGTGTTTCAAAAACACTTAGCTGTTGCAGCTGATTTGTTGGCCAGCTTGCTCTAGCAGAGGTAGCTCAATTCCCAGTCATGCTGGCGGTTCAGTGTTGGCTGGAACAACAGTGTGGTGCAGGCAGACCTCTTCTAGCCCTTGCCTGTGCAGAAACAGTGCCACAACCCTGCCCACCCACCCATCTCTTGCTCACCTCTTGCTGCCATCCAGGATGTAAATAGTCCAAACAGGGAGAAAAGACTGCTTCAAGGACTTCCTCACCTCTTTTCCTTCTTTTTCATTGCCTTATGATATTTTGTGCATTATAGGACTGTACTTCCAAGCAGAATAGCAAGGGGCCCTGCTTTGTGGCTGAGCACAGCAGTGTTTGGGCACTTCTGTACTCTGTGTTTAGGTGATAATTATCTCTGCATCATGTAATGAACTTTCTTCTTATTGTGGAAGAATACTGAGAGAGTAGTTCTGGCCTTGTTTCAACACGGATAAAGAAAACACCATCTTGTCCTTATTCCTCCTACAGTTTTGGTGGTTTTTGAGGTTTCCTGCAGTGACTGCTGCATTTTGCTCCAGGAATTACTGCACTGGCTGAAGGGACTTCTCCTTTGGTGTCTGTAAACCAATTTCACGCAGATGGTACTGTTGATTGCAAGGTGCCAAGGCTTCCTATAACATATCTTTTTGCCCTTCTTTTGCAGAACTTTGTCCGACATCACTGGGTGCACAGGCGGAGGCAGGAGGGGAAATGCAAGCAGTGTGGAAAGGTAAGATTTGCAGCACAGCCCAAGTGTGACACAGAGCACTGTGGAATTGAGGGCAGCCAGTAGGTCCTTCTAGTCACTGAATTTTTTCCTATCACAAACACTTGGCCTCTTTTAATGGCTAATGACAAGCCTGAGATATTGAGCAATAACAACCCTGATTCCCATGTGGGAAGAGAAAGGCAGCTGCATCTGCAGGAATGGGCACATCATGTATCCTGGGAGGTTGTGCTGCACTAGCTGCTAAAAATGAAGAGGAAGGCGGCTGTGGCTCCTTGAGCTTCTCTCTTTGTTAAACTAGCCTGGTACTAATATAGTGTTCTTTCAGTGCTGTCCTCTGTGCCAAAATTGTGATGGCTTATTTTTTAGGCTTCTGGAAAAAGAAAGCTGTTGCTTTATTTCTGCCCCAGCAGACTCTAAGATTTGTGAGACTGTATCATGTTTCCTCTGCTGTATAGATCGTGCAAGTTGATTTCTAAAAAGCTATAAAAAGGAGGAAGAAATGTCTTAGCTACTGAAGACCATTCTTCTGAAATATTATGAGCCCCTGAAATATATTGAGAGATATTTAAAAATTAAATTAACACAGGGATTTAATTTCCTTTCTCTAGCACTATATTATACTTTTGCCTCCCTCTTACCAACTAGTAAGGAAGTCTGTGTCTCATCTCCATGGCACAGCATTTAAGTCAGAGGAAAATTTGTATCTAGATATTCACATAGATCGTCAGCTTCAAGCTGCAATAAGACATGCAATAAAAATGCCTGTAGCATGGGAACAGTGCAGAAAGGCAGTTTGCATACAGTATTCTTATTGTATGACTTTGCCTTCCTTCCCTGCTTTTTTGGCCTGGATCTCCCCTGCAGGCATTAGGAGTTGATTTTGCAATGGGAGTACTTACTGACTATCATACCAAAACCTATGCTGGGTATGTTCACATGAGTAACCTTGACTGATATAGAATCATAAGGCTGGAAGAGACCTTTAAGGTCCTCAAGTCCAACCATCAAATGGAGAATATGGAGAAGAAATCTGTTTTCCCCTTAAATATTCAGTTAAGACTAACATGGGTATGTGGTAATAGAGTTGTTCTATGTCAAGAAACAGAAAGAATTAGAGGAAAATATAACAAAAAAAAAATCCATTATACTTGTTGGCCAAGTAGTCTCCTATTACAGAAAAATACTTGTCTTTCTTAGTGCTCTGCTATCACATTTCTTAAACCCCTGAGTAAGAATCACCTTTATTATTCTCTTGTCATGCAAGAAAAGGGGAACTATCATTGAAATAGAATGGCAGTACATTTGAAGCAATAAAAGGATTCTGGTTGATCTCATTGTTGTGTAATAGTCCTATGCCATGCCTGGAATGGGATGGTTAAGTATTTTAATGATCATTAATAATAGTTCAGATAAGGTTTTTGGATACACCCATCTCATGCTTCAAATCATAAGCAAGTGGATAGGAATTAATGCACCCCAATATTCTTAGCTTTGTGGCTTTATATTTTGTGTGCCATGTGTGCCATGCCTGACACTTCCTGGTGTCTGACAGTGTTCCACTTAGATCAGAAGTGCAGTTTGGAAGAAATTTTCCTGATTATCCTCACTTATGATGGTTCACATATGGGACAGTCTTGCAACAAATGAACTGAACTCCTTTAGATTAAACTCCTTTTAGATTAAACTTAACTGAAAGTTTACTCTGCAGTTACTAATGGACATTCAGTCCACAGGACCAGACTACAGCTAGTCCAAAGTAAAATTATTTGAAAATCCTTGTGTACAATGTTCTCAGTACCAACAGAGTCTGTGCTATCACTGTTACACATTACTTGCTAGTGTAGATACAACTTATATGGGCTCATCCAGGCTTTAATTTTCTCCTCTTCTTCTTCCCAGGAGTGATTTCACTGATTTACTGCTGAAGTACTATATGGAGAATTAGGCACCAGGGAAGGGGGCCTGAAAAGTGCAGTGTAACCAAACAATCTATTTCTGTCTTTTTGTCAACTTGCTGTGAAGGTTCCCTCTTTTTTGTTGTTGCTTTTTTTGTTTTGAAACTGGAGACTGTAATAGAAGGATGGACAGATCTCTTAAAGTCCCACTGAGCCCAGTATTCAACAATGGTTTAATATGAAAAAGAATAAAATGGAGCAGGTGTTTAATGATGCAACCTCAAAACAGTCTCCTGAACTATAAAAAATTCTGTCTTGTGAATTTCCAGAAATGGTGCCTTTACAGTTATATTGTGGCCTATGATAATTTTCTTTCCTGGGATCTTACCTAGTTGAACCTTGAGTTCCTGTGAAGTTTTAACATTTACAACATCCTTTAACAATAATTTCCTGAACTTAACTACATGCTATGAGAAGAACAACATCTTGGTTGTTTCAAACCTGTCACATATTAGTTTTCTTTCCTCATGCTCCATAGCTGTTGTTTTGGAAGAGATGGTAAATAAATCCTCCCAAACTATGTCCTCCACATCATTCATGATGCTTAAGAATTTATTTTTTTCTCTTGAAGACATGAAAAAAATAGTTTTGTAGCTGTTAGCTGTTTATTACGTGGGATCATAAGAGAAATCTTTATATAATTTGACGTAAGAATGTTCAGACCATGTAGCCCAGCATCCATTTCATAACTGAGTGCAGTAATAGAAGCTTAAGGATGAATGCACAGGAATCTTTTCTTTGTATATTTCCAGTCAGCAGTGGTTTAGGGATTTTCTGAGACTCAGAACACGTCTTAGACCATCATGCTAAACAAACACTGTATTTCTTTAACCTTCTGTGATGTCCAAAGTAGTGTGCCCTCTGTATACATGCAGTGTGTCTACAGTGTCTCTCAGTTACCAGTCCCTTTACAGGCTTGATCCAGAACTTCATGTTTTCCTGCATCTAAGGGTAGAACTGAAATTTCTAGTACTTGAAAGGCAATTCCAGTTCCTTGTTATTTTAGCAGAGATCACCATCCAAGTGCTTCTGTTGTAGTCTGTGTTTGAGCTGTAATAATACCTGGCTCTCCTACAGTAATGTTGCATTAGGATATCTCTAAGAGCACTAAAAAGAGAATAAGTATTATAGGAAAATACTTGCAAAAAATATTATTACTAGCCCTAACACTAGTGTAAAAACAGTCTTTAATGATAAATACTTTTGAGAATATAACCAAAACATACCAGAACTAGTAATCCCTGTGTGCTCTTTTGTGTGCATGAATGTCTAATAATTTGGACCTTCAATTTGTCTAGATAGTCTGGATCAATCACCAACAAAAGCTGGTTTTGTGGCGATTCAAGTGCTCTTTTCCTATGAGCACATTTCTTCTGGTATGCACAACTGTTTAATTCTACAGGAGCAGCACACAATAGGGGATTTCATGTGTTGTAGAGGAACTGGTTGCTGGGGAATCAGGGCTAATCATGTACTGTTAGGCTGATGTTCTCACAAAGGTGAAATTCATTTTCTATCTCAAAACTTCTAACTTGGTGCAGAAAACCTCCTTGCATGAGCCAGGAACAAGATAACTGAAATTTAGTTTTCCTTCTCATTGAGAGAAGGCAGGAAAGATAATTTCTAGTAAAATATGGGGAGTTCCATGGTTTCAGTTTGGTAGTTCTCATCAAATCTCACTGTGCCAGTGCACTGTTTATTTTATCAGTTCCTTTATTTGTAAAGCTAGCTTTCAAATAAATGCTATCTTACCTGAAACATGTATCCTTAGGAAGTATTAGTGCACGATATTTGTAAAACTGTTTGAGGAAGGATAGTGGTGTTTTATTGCTACTTATCATTAATATGTTTTCATTGCTGTATCATTTTCTCTAATTACTCCCTAAAAGCCAAATGGCTTACTAAATAAATGGAAAAATGGTCCATCTAGAACCAGACAAGCTGCTTAGGCCATATGTTTAAAATACGCAACTGATGGGCTGCAGAATTAATGTACTGAATTTAGGTTTTTATTAGTGGAGGTTTTGGGAGAGAAGAGTTTTCCCCCTGGTTATTACAAAGCAGAACAAAACAAAACACTTCATGCTCCTGAGGGACTGAAATCTTTTTTTCTTTCAATGCACTTTGGGACCAGAAAAGATGAGATTTGTGAGAAACAGTATGAAGCACCAGTGTAAGTGAATGAGAATAGAGCGTTTTTTCCAACCCCAGAACTCTGTACCAACACTTGGGTCACAGTTACTGTCACTCTGTTCATTCTTGTGCCCACACTGAATGGCAGACAAGATGTGACCAGCCAGAAGCAGCTGGACAGGTTGTCTTTTTTTATGCCCTTTTTGACTACACTGCTACTAAACCTGAATATGTCAAATCACCATAATTATGAAGAATCTAATCTTTGAATTTCTCTGAATGTAAACTCTGAGGCATTAGGGGGAAGATTAAAAAAAGCCCAAAAACCTACCAAACAAATCTAGGCAGAGGTGACACAAGCCTTTTGGGAGTCGATCGTGGAGGTGTGGTCCATCTGGCAAGCTACTTTGGCTGGGATATAGGGATACCTGTAGAAGAAGCTGCAAAGTGTAGCTCTGCATGGTGGACAGGCAGGTAGAGCCTCCTCCTCTTTAGAGTATCAGTAGGGTTGTCCTCAACTACCTTGTAGCTCAATAGAGCTACAATCAATAGATTGTAGCTCAATCCCTCACTTAACAAGACCAGTGCATCTCTCTGTGTTTTTTGGTTGGTTGTTTAATTCTCCTTCTTGGTGTGCTTGACCTTGTCATTGGACTGAGCACTAGCAGGCTCATTTTTCCTGCAGGATAAGAAGGACCTTAATTACAGAAGCAGTAAGGCAATGTCTTGCTAGATGTTACTAAATCAGATTATAACTTTCTTGCATTGAGTCTTGGGCATTGTCCAGCATGTAGGAGATTTAGGTATTAACTCAGCTTGTCAAAAAGAAAGCTGGCTCACAAATTCATCACTTGGTAGAGAGATTGATATAGAAAATTAAGGATGATGATGGGCTACTTAATGTGGTAAGAGGGAGGCTTGATGGAAACTCATGAATAAAGGATCCAGACAACTGCAAATCTGAAATCTAAGCAGTAAAGATGACTATGACAAACTGCTCAATGAAGTTCTGGACTTTGTCTCTCCAGCCATCAACCCAAATCAGATTTTTGTCTGATGAAAAAGAGCTTTAATTCAACAAAAAACTTCAGACTCTATCTTACAATTTGTTGCCTGTGTTAGATATGAGTTTATATGACCCAATGGTCTTTCCCAGCCTTAGAATTTAGAGCAAAAGTGACATTCTATAGAATGAAGCTCTTCTGTAGGAGAATAAAATCTCATATTTATTGGTAATGGTGGGCTTTTTTCTCTTTAAAACTATAAAGAAACATTTTCTTTTATCTGTTTGATTTGAATCAGACCATCTTGTTTTTTGGAATTTACAGGAAGGATTTTAATCTGAGTCAGCTCAGTAAAACTATAACTCAATTTCCCCACCAGAACATTCCCAGACAGACATTGTAGTTGATTCTGCTCTGTAGTTAAAAAAAAAAAAAAAAAGGAAAATTCAGATTCTTGTTTTTATGTAGAGCAAACAAGACTGCAACTGTCACAAAATCTGACACTCTCCAGATCTGTAGAAATCCATTAAAATAGGCATTCCTTCTCTATCTTTTTCCAGTGTTTTTAACTACAAAAAAATCTAAGGAAAAGCATAAAATTTTGCAGAAATGCTTTTAAAAGTGTGTGCAAAAATGCCCCAGTTGAAGAACATTCTCTCTGACTCTCGTCATTGTTTTATCCCCCAAAAATTTGTTTGTTGTCTAAGAGCTTTGAGGCTGAACCAATGCATCTGACTTCAATGAATAGATTTAGCTTAGTACAGTCAGGTGACAAGAGTTAAAGGTGCATATTTTCTTGTAGTCAGGAGGAATTTAATCCTTTTTTTCCTGGTTTTCTAGGGCTTTCAGCAGAAGTTTTCCTTCCATAGTAAAGAGATAGTGGCCATCAGTTGTTCCTGGTGCAAGCTGGCGGTAAGTGAATAATACTCTGAGAGACTGTGATCTGTGTTTAAATAGGAATGATTTTTGTGTTTTTTGTTGTTGTTGGTTTTGGTGGTTTTGTTTGTTTGATTTGGGTTGTTTGTGGGTTGTTTGTTTGTAAGAAGGTATGGTTTGGGAAGATAATCTTTAGTTACATGTTCCTAAAGCTCCATGGTTTGACTGACTTGAAGATGGTAGCGTTGGAAACATAGCCCCAGTTTTTGTACCATCACCCTCTTCTTCCTCTCCATGCTTCCCCTTTGTGTTTCTTGACCTCCTTAGTGACTGTACTCTTTCCTTCTCTTCCAGTTTCATAACAAAGTCACCTGTTTCATGCTGCATCACATTGAGGAGCCGTGTTCCCTGGGGGCTCATGCTGCTGTCATTGTGCCTCCCACCTGGATCATTAAGGTGAAGAAACCTCAGGTAACTGCATGCTGATGTCTGTTTCGGAAGCTGTGTGGCTGTGCAAAGCCAACCTGGCTTCGCTGCTCGGTTCTCCTTCACGAAAGCATGCTTGTTCAACCCTGTCTTTATCCCTGAAACCCAGCATACCTCCATGGTGATTATGAACCTGTATTCTCCTGCCCCTCCATCCAGACCTTCAGTAGATTTCCCCGTTTGGGATGATGAGCAACAAACATGACTTGTTCTGAGCTAATCCAGTTCAGATTTGTTCCTGTAACTGAGTTCAGCAAGCATACTGCAAGAAAATCCCCCGTGTGGTAGGCAGTCAAGCATGTTTCATTAAATAGAGCTGAGCAAATACAGGGAAAAGCCATTCACAAACATTCACTTGAACAGCAGTAAGAATTGACTGTGGCTGGACTGGCATCCTTCTGAATTTGCCATTAATGGACATGTAAAGAATCATGTCTTATTTACATCGGTGCTTGCTCGTTGTCAGCAGTAAGCACATGTGCTCATTTAGTTGAAGGTAACAAACACTAGACTTCAAAGCATTTGTGATGGATGTGATAGGTCCTGGAGAGGATAATTCACTGGTGAACATAGGGGAAAAAATATCCACAAGAGAGCTGGCCAAAAATTAAAAGGGGTTCACATCATGCAAGAAGTATTTTTTCTTTGGAAGTCTGTTTTCACTCTAAGTTGAGCTGAGAGAAAAAAATGCTGAACGTATCAGGGAGTCGAAAATACTGGTTAATTTTTTATTTCAGAATAACAGTTTTTATTTCAGTCCATCCTTGGGAAGTGACCCAGGCTTTTTGACTCCTGGTTGTCAATAAGAAGCCAAGAAGTTCAGGCTGTGGACAAGGCACTAAGACAAAACTAGTCCTATGAAAAAGGCCTAAGACCTAAGTGGTGACACTGCTCAATCTTTAGTTCCAGTCTAGGAATATGACCAGCAGATTTGGGCATTAATAGGATTTCTAACAAGCTGGTTGTTGAGGACAATGGGCAGAGGGAAGGGGAAATATATGTATAGAGTAATCAAAAAATCGACCCAAGAAGTTGCTATTTCTCTTTTAGGTTAAGAGAGAGTGTAGGCAAAATTCCCAGCCACCTCCACTCAGAGAAAAAAGGGTTTTTTTTTGTCATTGGTAGCTTTTCCTCGCACTCTTTTTTCTCTGTTTGTTTTACTCAGGACTTCTCCAGAGAAATCTTTTTTTCTCTCTCTTGTTGAGGAATGTTTGAGTCCTAGGCAGGGACTTCATATCCTTGACTAATTTTCAGCACCATACTTGACAGATGTATCCATGTCTGACGTTACTAACAGAAACTTTTCCTCAATTTTTTAATTCTTATTTTATTTAATTTTTAGTAGAAAAAACCAAAAAACCACAAACCCCAAAACTGTCACTTTTAATTTTCTCTTGATTTGTCTTTTGGCCAAAGCAAGGTACATTCTTTATAATATTTTTAGAGAATGTAGTTTCTTGTTCACTGTTTTTTTCAGACCAGTTCCAATTAAAAAATAGGGTCTGATCTAGCTAATTATAATTTATGGGAAAATATCTTCTACATTAAGGTTTAATATGTTAAACTATAAGAAAATATCTGTTATCTTTGTGTGCCTGAGTCATGAGTGGAAGGAAGGTACTGCAATCCATTATTCCCTCTCCATCACATCTTGAGCCCTTGAGATTCATGCTCAGTAGCATGCAAAAACCTTGAGTAGCTGAAGCATTAGATAGACAAAAGTTATATTTAACACAGACAATGGGGATATTTCCGTGAAAATTCATAACAGCTCCCATTGCAATTATGGGAAATGCATCCTTATTGCTTTAGAAAATACTGATGCATCTTTTGGATGTGTTTTCAGATTTTTGGCAGAAGTCTTGTTTTCTTATTTATTATTTTCTTAGGAAATATTTTTCTTCTCCTGCTGTTTCTGGCCAGCTCTACTGCTATGTATTATTACCTTCTTCACCCCATAGGAATGTTTGGTAAACACTATGAAATATTCACTGCATTCAATCCGCAGAATATAAACACAATATTCACAAATTTTTGTAAATTCACATAATAAATGAATGTGTAACCAACAATCTGTTTTTCACATATTCCACAGTCAGAATAAATTTGACTAGAAGCTTTTTTTGTTATAAAATATTTTCTCAGCTCTAATTAACTACTTACATTGGTCACAGACAACTCTTGAACTGAATTTCCTACTCATATAAAATTGATTTTAGTGATGCCTGCATCCTGTTTGCTTGTTATTTCCTTTAAGCAAATAAGTTGGCTTTTTGTAGCGAAACCTTGCCCTATTTTATATTTTTTTTCTTTATATTGCCACAAAAATGGTTTTCCATGCTTATTTTGTATAACGTGGGTCACCACCTTTCAAATATTGGGCTTGCGTAAAGACCACACTCCCCATCTCGTTGCTAATATTGTGGTAGTAAAACATCATGGTGTGATTGGCTAAGGACAAATTATTACTGACAACCTATGTTCTAAATGGGGAGCTTCTTGCAAGCAACTGATTGGAAGATGAAGAATATTCAGAATGGTTCAAATAGCCTTGGAATCGGTGGTAGCTCTGTATGTAAAGACCCACTCACACATGAATGGAAAACTCCCAGTTTATCCATGTTATCCATAATGTGAGCCACTTCTGTAACTTTTTTACTGATTTCCAGTGTTTCCATACTGTTAGCAGTGCTTTGAAACCAGCTCTGTTTTCCTGGGGTTCAAATCAATTCCATCTCCTACTTTGTGAAGGAGGTCACTCCTGTTGACTGGTAGTATTTTTTTATAGGTGAGGTTTGGTAGCCAAAGTGGTGTTAGGTCTAGCAGTGGGGTTGCTATATGCTTGTGATGTGGGAGAAAAGCAGGTAATAAGGAGGATCTGGCTCATGTATTGAGTCTGTCTTCTGTTTGGGAAGATAAAGGCAGTAACTAAAATTCCAAGATTTTTCTGTTCAAGGTGAGTAAACATGGTGTTTTCTTCTTCTGCTCCTGCTTTGAGTACCTTGAAAAAGTTCTAGTGAATGCTTATATTTCTGGGTTTATTTCTTTATTTCCCCAATTGCTGAATGCAGCTGGCTTGTCTGATGGTGTTTGTGAACAACCAGAAGACAGTCAAGATTGACTTTCCCAGACGCTGTTCATTATTTAAGTAATTTGAAGATCAGTGTGCTAAAAGCCTTTGAAAATGAAGGCTGAAATGTTGTAAAGGAAAAGGTTGAAAGGTGTAATTGGATTTCTCTGAGGTAGTCCATGACCTTTGCACGATCCAGCACCATACAAGAACTCCAGTTCTCCTGCTCACCTAACTAATCCTGCTGAGAGCTATACTGACCATTCAATAATATGAAAAATCTCTTTTTGAAGACAGACAAACTGACATCCACAAAGGAGAGGTTTCCTCTCTAGAGGCAAGTTAGGATTTACTTATGGTGCCCATTTAAAGGTATGCTTTGCTATCAGGTACCTTGCTGAATAACATTATATGTTTACAAAATACTCATCACCTTGTTATGTGAACAAGGTAGTACGTATCCATTTCTTCACTTCAGTGTGCAAAGACTGCTGATACTCTTGGCTGTTACTCTTCTGCATGCTTGCAAAAAGAACCTGCATATGTTTAAGCAGCTTTTTTGCCTCTCATCTGCTATGGACATGCAGTTGCAATTACTGTAGCAAAGCTTTAGGTTCTGCTAACACTGAGGTGTAGGCATGTAGAAGAAAAAAAAAGAGGAGTGAAATAACACTGTTGTGATGTAGCATAATTTAATGCCTTTTTGAGTATGGAAATGAAAATGTTTATAATCATGATTGGAGGCTTAGACTAAAACTGTTTCTTTAATATAGCTGTGTTCCTTTTCCCTACTCACCCATAGGCAAGAAAAGAGATACATTTTCATGGGATTTAATGACAGCTACGTTTAAACATTCTTTAAATTATTCTTTTAAAATTAGTTAGTGTTTTACTGAACTTTCCCCTTTCCAGAAGAATTTCATTGGACTTAGGTCTGTCCATTTTGGAGGTAGAATAACAAGTACAGTCCTTCTAGAGGTACAGTTAAGAACTTGCCTAATGTTTTACCTAACTTAAGTTATAAACTAATATTTGTCAGCAGAATTCACTGCACTTAACCAACACAATAAGCATTTTGAATTTTGCACCTGGACAGACTGATGCACAGGGAAAAGGTTTGGTATGTGTGTGAGCTTTCAACAGACTGCTAGCAAGACTGTGGATCTTCTCTCTGTATCCTGTGTTTTGCCCTACTCCAGGGATAATCCTTCATCAGAGAAGGAGCTGAGGAACTAGGTTAAGGCCCCCTTGGAGGCAGCTTTGAGTGTAACATCACCATAACTTTCTGTTGGCATCAAGACTGTTGTACAGTTGATCTGATTACTGAGGTTGGGCAATGAAAGACCACGCAGATGGGATTGCTGACTCAAAGTTGGTGCAGTCTTTGAGGTTTATCATGCTTTCAAAATCACTTTGTATCAGAGTAGGGAAAAATATGAACACTTCTTTAGGTAGTTTCTCAAAATACCGTCTAAAAGGGCAAATGCTCTGAAACTGCTCTGCAGACCTGTCCTGTCTTCAATGTTTTTGGTAAGCAGTAAGGCATGACTGTATCCTGGTCCACAAGTAATGTTGAGTGGTGATAAAAAGCTTGGGACCTTGGGCTCTACAGCAGGCTTCTCTTGATCTCCATAATTAAGAACAGTGCCTTTAGGTCTTTGAGTTAGACAGTTGTTAGTTTTACTTCTAGGAGTCGTGGAAGCATTAACTTCTGTATCTGGTCTGTCATACTGAAGTCTTGAAATTCTGAAAGTGTTGGATGTGTATTAAACAAAATATGGTAGCTATTTTTGTTGATGTTGGTTAGCAAGCAGGATTAAGAACAGACATCACTGTTTAGAGATTTGATAATCTCTGCTTGTTGATTTTCATAAGTACACTTTTAAACAAGGTCAGGACAGAAATGAACTTTCGAATGGCTGAGTGAATCTTGCTTTCCCTCTTGAAGCCAGGAAAAAAAAAGTCAATGAACTTTCTTCTAATTCCCCGTTTTACTTTAGTTCTTGGTGATAACTAGACTAGAAGTTGAAATACTGCAAAAATATTTGGAGTATTTCCCATAATACAAAATTTCAATCGTATGGAAATGGTTAGGGTTTCCTGCAGGTATGACTTCAATTACTGAATTAAAATAATTGAAAAATTTAATAAAATTATCCTTTTTGGACTGTTCTTATCAAACCAGAACACCTTTTCACTCAGTATCACTGAGCAGACTATTGCCAGCCTGGAGAACAGCCTTGACATAAGTTCTATTTTAATAGGTTCTGCAAAAATACAAGCAATTATATGTTTTTACCTATGTAGTTAAGTGATACTGTTATTTAAAAACAAAACAACCACCCACCCCACAAACACTCCTTCACTCAAATCCTTAAAAATTAAAATTAATTCAGTTTGTTCCTTAGCAGATGATTTCACAAGTTTCTTGGTAGGCTGGGACTGACTCTACAGTGCCAGCATCATACGCCATGGTGGCCTACGTTATGTTGAGTCATAATGGTTGCCAGAGCTAAAACTTGTTGTTTTCTTTCCTAAAAAAAAAAGAAAAAGAAAAAAAACATGAAAAATATCTCATTTATCATGTTTTTTATTACATCTTTATGCAGGTGGTCTCCATACCAGGAGACGAGCCTGATTGGGCAGGAGACTGGAGCCCCGAAGGGGAAACGGGCGTCTCCTACCCCTATTGGGAGGGTTGGCAGGTACAACATGTGGTGTTATGTGAGTCTATGGGAGCATCTGATCTTTTTTTCCCCCTCACAGCGTGGGAAAGTTTCCAGTTCCAAAGCACCAGTCTGGTCTCCGTGTGTGGCTTTCTCCATAAACGGTGGTGTGGAAGTGTAAAGCATGCAGCGCATGTGATTTAAATCTCGAGCATGTGCCAGATACTCTTATCATTCTCCAAGTGGACATGCATGGAAGAGCTTCGTAAAGGGGCTCTGTCTGGGCCTGTCTTCTAAATTTTGTTTTGCTTTTCATGTATTCTTTTTTCTTTTGATGTAGAACTCCTTAAAGACTTCAACACGGCGAAAGAAGAGAACGTCTTTTAAAAGAAAAGCCAGCAAAAGAGGCAATGAAGTAGGTATTCAAGTGCTTTGGAAATCAGGCTCCTTTTGTTTAAATGTCTAAACCGTGAATTTGAAGTTTTTAGGGTTTTGGTTTATTTTCTTTCTTTCTTTTTTACTGCATTGTTTAATATATTTTTTTCCCCTGGAAAATTCAATGCTATTAAATTTGTTGTTAGAAGAGATAAAACTTGTATGAGAAGTTTTATTTTCTGAGTTGATTTTTTTCAAGAATCAACGTACCAGACTCCAGAAGGACCAGCACCCTATTCTCTTGGGATGTAAGAGACTCAGCTCACACCCTTGTTTTCCACTAGGCAGAGCAAGGGTGTGAAACTGGGGTTGTGAAGTCCATGGTGAGTGCACTGATGCAAGGCTCTGGTCCAGTTTGAGGATGTTTCCTTCGGGGGATCTCATATTGGAAATATTCTGTTTGTGTGAAAATTGAAATTCGACCACAGAGGGAGAGAGAATACAGATTATTGATCTGATGGTTTGATTACCCATGTATCTTATAGAAGACCTTGCTTCCCGACTCTTCTTAGTGGATTGGTTATATAGACAAACAGCTTCCTGAGAGAGGTGGAGGGAGACTGGCCTCTGCATAGCCAGGGCTCTCTGGTTCAAGGCCTCGCTTGGGTGGTGGGAGAACTGCAGACCAGAAACTGGAATCCACATCTGTAAGAACCCAGGACAGTATCCTCATTACTGGACTCTCTGGTGTCCTGCAGGGGTAGGGAGTAGGGAGGCATATAGTTTTCTCGTTGATGTGTTGGGTTTCATCTGTGGCATTTGTTCAAAGGTGGGAAGGCAACAAAGCCAAGAATTCAAGAGCATATTGCCTGCAAATAAGTGCTGATACAATTTATCTGTTAGAATGAATTAATGGAATAAGTAGCTTATCTCATTCTATTTTCCTTTGGAAAAACTGTTTGTATTAGAAATAACACCGTGTCTGTCACATTATTAATGCTGTGTGAATAATTGGGAGTGGGATGGCTGGAAATAATATTGAGTAAAATTTTAAAATAGTTATGTATTTCCCTGAAGTGAGATTTTCCCCCTCTTATTTATATTCTCTTGTCTCATCTGGATAAATAAGTGCCAGCTGAGCACCACATTGATGTGGCTGTACTATTTCCAATACCTGAGGTAGTTTTATCAGAGCTAGGTTGGGTCTCCTATGTGTGTTATGCCAGGAAAACATACATAGCTTGTACTAAAGCTATTTCTTGCTTCTGTTTCGCAGGAGAACAAAGGCCGGCCGTTTGTGATAAAGCCTATCTCCTCTCCACTCATGAAGCCACTGCTGGTTTTTGTCAATCCAAAAAGTGGAGGGAATCAGGTAAGAGCATCAGCTGGATCCAGGTCACAAAGTTTTAGTTTAACAGTAGGGTTTCTGCTAGTTAAATGACAATAGTTCTCAGTCAGTCAGATAGAAAGGACTCTATGCCTTAACTGCAGTCCTCAGAAGAGGTCCTTGCCATTGAATGACCATTCCACTTTGGTGGAACTGGGTGACTGAAATGGGTATTTGAGTGGTTGCATTCCTATTTTCAGATTCTTGAAAGGAATCTAAAATGGCAGTTTGGAGGTTTTCAAAAGACTTCATCTTTCCATGGAAAATTTGGGTTGCCAATGCAGTTTTAGACTTATCTTTTTCCAAAAAGTGGTTTGATTTTACTAGGAAAGGCTAGTGAATGTGAAATGACATATTCCTATGGCATTTAAAAAATCATTAGTGGTCTTGTACTGTACCACAGAGAACCAAGTTTCAGTGACAGCAGACTTTTTCCTTAGGATTCTTGGAATGAATACTTACCCAAGTGAATGTTTTCCAGGTCAGTTCTGCTGCTTTTTTGAACATCAAAGAATCTGAGTGCCTTTAGATAAACAGGTCCTTCTATTAGAAAAGATTGATGTAAGATACAACAAAAGCCTATAGAGTATGGAGAATAACATAGCCCTTATTCACCTTCTCCTCTGTTAGAAGAATTAGACAGGATATCAAATGAAACTGCTAAGACTGATCCAAAACCAAGGAAAAAGCTACTCCTTCTCACATTGCATAGTTCAGATGCCATAGGATGTTGTGGATTCTAAAAGTTTACACAGGCTGAAGGAGAGATTTGGAAGAGAAAAACCTGGATTACTGGAGTCCTGTACCTCCCTCTGGCTCAAGAGTTCTATGAACCACACACAGCTGAGATGGGAAGAATACCTATGGCAAACATCACATTTATTTGCTCTCTTCTTATACTTTTTCCTAAGTACTATGACTGCTATTCTTGATTCTCCACTTAAAGGAAGGTGTCAGGCAGAAGAGCCATCCCTCAGAAGGGGAAACTGTGGAATATTCCTGATGGATATCCCAAGGCCATGTCTGAAAGGCATTCTTGAATTACTTTGCATTACAAGTAATTCTTGAGTTACTTTGAATTACAAGCTCACCCCACAGAGTTCTTAGCTCTCTGCTGATAGTAAGAGCTCCTGCCATTTTGTGTCTAGGCAGAATGTGGAGGAAGGAAACTGAGTGTCTGGAACATGAACCCAGGAGTTTGAGAAAACAAAAATCATACTTTTGGGTGATGGGTTGGCCATGCTGCACCGAGTGAGGGAGCACTGGGGCAGCTGTAGCCCTCAGAGTCCTTGGCTCATGCTTCATTAAATGATAGGGGGTTACAATTATGAGTGTTCATGGTGGTGATGGTGGAGGTCAAAGTATTGTCATTGTTTGGATATTGGGCAGGACAGTGTCAAATGTGATGGTGACTTTGCATACAATCTTGTTCAACTTCTTGCTGTCATGGATGATTGAGGGTGCTGTGGGATAAGAGAGGTTTTTCCTTGTTTCAGGTGATGAGAGGCAGGGGAATGGGTTGCTGTGGGAGATGTTCCTTTGGTCTGACCCCAAATACCTGTTCTTATGAACCTTTAGTGATCTGTGTTTTGAAATTAGTCTATATACTTAACATGTGAACCTTGTCCAGATTAGTGGGTTGTCTTTTCTTGTTTTGTTTGCTTTATAAAGCACAGGAAAAAAAACAACCAAAAGCAGTTAAAATATAATGAATAATGCACACTATTATTTCTAATAATCATTAAACTACTTCTAATTTCCCTTCCTTCGATTTTTTTCTCTCTCTTGTCAGGGTACCAAGGTTCTCCAAATGTTTATGTGGTATTTGAATCCACGCCAGGTGTTTGATCTCTCTCAGGAAGGGCCAAGAGATGCGTAAGTTTTTAAGTCTTCATCTCTGCACAACCTATTTCTTTTCTTTTCTGATGAGGAAAGCAGAAGAAGGTCTAGCTTGGCTAGATTACTGGAATGTATATGAGGTGTATGTATCCAGGTTTTGGTAGCAAAAGGGAGGACTGCAGTGGTGGCTTTTGTGAGCGGAGATCAGGAGCTGCCCCTGTGTCAGACAGAGCCAGGTCCAGATGGCTCCAAAACTGACTCACTGCTGATCCCAATGCCTGACCATTCCCTAATGGATGAGAATTACAGTGGGGTGAGGCTACCTCCAGATTGCCATACGTGACAGCACTATGCAAGTGTCTCTGCTTGCTGAGTAACTGCCTCACTTTATCTGGACAGTTGAACTGTGATCCTCTTCCATGGGAGAGAGGACCTGTCTTTAAAGGGATGATTCTTGCTGCCAAGGGTTAAGAAACCACACTTCTATGGTAACTGAAATGGGGATACTTGCTGTACTTAACAGTCTGTTCAGCCCTACTTTGGCAATTTAGGCAGCACAAAAAGCTAGTAATAACGTAAAATAAAATATTTACCTGTATTAGAACAGGTAAGAATAGTCCAAGTATTTCCTATTCAAGACACCCAAGCTTTTTGTTACTCCTGCAGAAACATCTCCACTGCTGTTCTCTCAGATGTTTAGAGGCTTTAAGGTAGACATACATTTATCAGAGCTGTATAATGGGGCTAAAGGAGGATTAGGCCCTCTGGTCACTCAGCTCTCTACACACAACGTACCCACTCCATTACAAGGTATTTCGTTCTGCCATTCTTTGATGCACCTGAAGAAGCAAGACTTCAATGGGTGCTTTTTTTGTCTCTCCTGTTGGTATCTTAGATCAGATATCCCAGAAAAGGCCTCTATTAGATGTTCTTGCCTTCTGTGGTGTTAAAATGTAGTTACCAGTTGAAGAAGCTGTCATATTCTACAAGCTTGAGAAACAGTAACTTGTCAAATCATGATGAGGGATAGTAAATTTTGTTTAAGAACCTCAGTGTTTAAATTCATTTAATTTAGGGTAAGAGAAAAATGAAAGATTGACCTCTCTAGAGGGAATGTGAGAATCTGGCCTTCCAGATTTAGCATGGCAGCATGCTAAACTGATCAAACACTTGTCAGGAGGTGCTGCCTAACGAGGAAGGAAGGTCCCATTTCACATCCTAGTGGTTTTGCATGTGTTTGTGTGAAGACATGAAGTGAGCCACAGGGCTCAGGTTAAGTTGGGGCCGATGTTGCCTGTGACTGCCAGGGCCAAAGCCTTATCACTGCTGAGGCTTTTGGCAACAGATTTTTTTTTTCCCACCTGCACTTCTTCTTAGTAATGAATATTTGAAACTGCAGGAAGCGATGGTTACACTGTCACTCAGCAAAACGCATAAAAAGTGTCTGCATTATTGTTCTGATTTTTTTTTCCTTTTTTTTCCCTTTCCCTCCCTGACCAGGCTGGAACTGTACAGAAAAGTGCCAAATCTGAGGATCCTGGCCTGTGGCGGGGATGGGACGGTAGGTGGCCAGTGCCTGGCAGCCCTGTGGTCTTCGGCCAAGTGATTAAATTCCTTGCAGTGATGGGTTCCCCACCTCGCAACACTTGCAGAGCCAGATAAGATACCTAATGTTTGTGAAATCTAATATTGGTTTTTCAATTTTATGTGTGGCCTGACCTGTGTAGATATGCGGCCAGATCCTAATGTCCAAAGTCCTTTTTCCTTTATGCATAAAGGTTTGGTACAGCTTCAAAAAGATAAAGACTAATTTTGCTGGTCTCCTCTCGCTATTTACATAGATCTGAGGGTCTAGCAGGTTAAACCAGTGACTGGGAGCCACTCTGCTCCTTCCTGCTGTTGTCTCCATGATGTCTGAGTACAGTAAAGTAGTGTCTTCTCTGTGCCTAAAGAAAGTTAGTTTCCCCATTTTCTTTATGAAGCTTCTGTGAGGAAGGATGTTGCATTGGTCGTACAATTAGCTCAGCATCCGGCAGATCCATGCTCAGTATTTTTCTTTGCAACAGAATTTCTGTGTTCTTGGATAAGTGAATAGGTTCAAATCTTTAAAGGATTTGGGCACCTTCGGTTGGAGACAGACTCTGCAGTTTAGGGCCCGGAGGCCGTGAGTGGTAATGGAGTTATTACAACTGCATTCTCTCTCCAGTAATTAGGAATGTTATAAATCCCAGTGTGTGCCACTGAGTGCTTAAATACAGTTGAAAAACTGCCCTTTAATCTCTAGTAGGCTCAGTTCCCCAAAATGCATTTGATAGTAATTTTAACAGTAAGTATGGTAAGGAAAATGCATTACCCCTTGCAAGATGCAATGATTGGACAGAATAGATATATGTAGATGTTTAGGACTTGGAGAGGTGGTTCGTTTATTTTGTAGTGAGCTGTAACCCCACTATTAGCTCATCTCTGCTTGAATTTCTTGGGGAATTTTTTGTTCAGCTTCTGTGGGTTCCTTTAAAACCCCATCAGTAGGGTTACTAATACCAATGCTTCCCCTGAAAGTGTGAAGAAAAAAAAAAATCAGTGATAAGATTGCTGTCTTGCTGGTTCATGGGGAATTAAGACATTACTGAATTATGAACTTTTCTTAAGAAATGTGCAAGGCATTGCTTTAGCAGGAGACATAAACTGCAAAAAAGTTAGTCAGTCAGTTGCTGGAATTCTTTCTCTTTTCCATCTGAGGAAACCAGTATTTTCACAGGGGAAAAAACTATTTGTCATGAAGGTATTAAAATAGAAAAGAATGCAACTACACTGAGTCGGACCATCCTTTGTTTTCCCTTTGCTGAACAGTGCAAGCGAGAGGTGGCAGCATCTTCTCATTAGTATGAACAGCACTCCACTATTACTTTTGCTGCCGCTCAGTTTGAAGCAAATTAATATCTAGTTATTCCCAAAGCCATTACATTTAGAAATGAGAAATCTGGCTCAAATGGACTTAATGAATATGCAATGAGACCAGATGTTACCTTGCATTATTGAGCTGAATCAGAACTTATTGTAACTTTTCCATCATAACTGCTTGCTGTTACTTTCCAGGGCAGAGGTTGAAAGCTTCCCTTTCAAAGCAGTCAGGAGGTTTCTGTTTACAGGGAAACGATAGTCTGTGCCATCCTTGATTGTGCAGCTAATGTACAAGGTTTAGAAGTGACCTCAAGTTTAATAGCAATGTTGTACTTATAAATTAGTAATTTGAAGTTTCTGTTTATCATTTAAAATCATTCACAGAAGTGCTAGGTATTGTAATGTTATCTGTAGCAGTGAGAGGCTGAAGTGCAGGTGTGTGGATTAAGTCAGTGGTAATGGCAAAAGACCCTTTAAGATTTCCTGGCCCCACTGAAGTTATTTGGACTGTTTTTTCTGTCTCCTGTTAACAATGTTGAAGGATAGATATTTTCAAAGATAGGGGATTATTTACCTCTGAAAATCCCTCTAAAAGTAGGGGATTATTTACCTCTGAAAATCCCTCTAAAAGTAGGGGATTATTTACCTCTGAAAATCCCTCTAAAAGACCTACATACTTTTGGTGACATCCAAAGTCATGAGAGCTGTAAATGCCTAACTGTTGTCAGACAATGAATTTGAATATGGGATCACATCCCAGACGAATGCTTTAATAATTGGACAGTTGGTTACGATAAATAGCTGTCTGATAAATGCCATTTGTGCAAAAATAAATTTATCTGTTAAGAGACCTGGAGAAAGAAATACCCTGGAATACTGAATAGCATGGTGGTTGCTATGTTTACCAGGCCACCCTCTCTGCTGATCTTCAGAGTTATGCTGAGTGCCTTTTGTGAAGCTCCAGTGTAATCCCAGTTTGGGTTAAGAATCTATTTCAAACCACAATAATATTAGTTGGGGGAAGAAAAATTTTGTCCAGCTGCAGTCAGGATTTCTGTTTTCTGTTTTATTTAAAAGCTCACATTTCCAGTAAAAACGGCATTTTTGGAAACTGTGAGAGGGAAAAAAAATCTTCTGTTTATTTTTCACTAATGCTTTATTTAAAAATGCAACCCAGGTTCTTCACAAATTATTATTTTATTTTTTTTTTTAAATGGAAGTAGTTTAAAGTGAGAAGTAGTTTAATAAAGAGTTCTTTGGTTTTGTGTCAAGAATATCAGTCATAAAATGTTTGGTAACATCTTTAGTAACTTTTTTAGTAACAATTCTTTCTCCCCCTTGGAAATTACCATTTAATGAAAACAGAATAGTTTACAGTAATTTGTTCCTTCGGATAGATTTCTAGTTGAAAGTTTTATGTAGTCCAGAATAATGACCGGAGAGAGAAATAGCTGTGTAAAATAACTAATAGCTTAGAATACAAAGGAGACTGATTCATTGTTCCAAATCCAAGGCCTTTAACCCTGAGCATTAAACTCTGTCTTTTATTCCAGTCTTTTAGTCTTTTATTTGATATATATGTGTATATATCTGTATATTATATAGATATAGATATTTTGTACTGAGTAAAATAATTCAGCACTAAGGTCTCTTGTCTGGGAAATGGGAGACTTGGGGGCAAGTTAATGCTTGACATGACAAGTTCTCAGACACCATGCAGTTTTAATGCGTCTCGCATTTTCTTTCATAGCTGTTGTCAAAGATTTAGTTTCTTTTGGCATAGTGGTAGTTTTAAAGACATTATCTTGAATTGTCAATTATTCTTCTTCGTTCACTTTTGCATTTCTTTTACATGGTCTTTGCTGTGAATAGGAATATGATATGATCAAAATATACCTTTTTCCTTTCAATCTTTCTGACTACCAATTCTCTGCATTTCCCTTTTTATAGGTGGGCTGGATCCTCTCCATCCTTGATGAGCTGCAACTCAGCCCCCCGCCTCCAGTGGCTGTCCTTCCGCTTGGCACTGGGAATGACCTTGCCCGCACCCTCAACTGGGGTGGGGTAAGGACTGACTGGGGCACGCTTGTGTGGGGGTTCTCAACTTGCTGCTTGGATTTAGTCATGTGTGGTGGACCTTCCTTTGGGCTAAAATAGCAGGCAGGGCTGTGTCCAGGGTCTGCTTCACTTTAGGCATAATGGTTTGATTCAATTTCCAGTCTGGGATGTTGAATTACTATTGATGTAGTTGTAATAAAAGTGTATTTACATATATCTGGTATTTCAGGCTGAGTAATGAGGATGATATGCAGGCTTCTAATTTAAGTATTGTTTAAACTTTATTTCTCTTTGTTTATCCTTGACTACAGCACTGGAGTTATTCCAGGCAACACAAATACACTTTGAGTGCCTCTCCTTATGGCTTTATTTTGCCTGCCCTACATTTGTGCACCTCAGTAATAGCTTGTTATTGATGCATCAAAATTTATCAAGTGTCTTAGGAACCTTTGATCTGGTGTTTTAGGCCTGTATGAAAGGAGGGAGATCTGTCAGGTAATTGGTGAGTGACTTGATTTGTTTTCACCATCCGTGGCTGATACTCTGGTCCCATTCTGCTGTCAGGGTTACACAGATGAACCAGTGTCCAAGATCCTCTGCCATGTAGAAGATGGGACCATTGTCCAGCTGGACCGCTGGAATCTGCAGGTTGAGCGCAACCCTGATTTGCCCCAGGATGAGCTGGAGGATGGGGCACGTAAGGTTAGAGCCTACTTTTTCCCACAGAAACTATAGGATGCTTATGAATGCCTTTGGGTTTCACCATAAGCTGCATGGCTGGGCAGTCATAAACATTTTTAATTTTCTATTTGCATCTCTCCTTTTGTTCTTTTCATGTGTCAGTGATTCCAGAGTTGTGTGAAATGTAATGCATTTATTTGTTGTTTGTAACTCCCAGGCATTGAACATTTATGTCAAGGACTAAATCCTGGAAAAAAAATCCCTAGCATTTTATCAGAAAGGTCATTGTTGTTTTTCTCTAGTTGCAGGAGAAGCAACCCTGTGACTACCATCCATTTCCAAATTAGACAAAACTAAAAACAGGATGTAAAATTTTCTTCCTTAGGATTTTGCTAATGGATACCAGCTGTTTGCTACTTTACAGCAAGGTGTAGTGTATTTTTGTATTTAACTTCTTTGTGTGTGGGTCTCCATATAATCTCCGTTAGTGTATCTTGATAATTGAAGAGTGGGAAAATCTTTTGTGAGGGAATCATATAGTAATATGCCATTTGGACTGGAGATGTTGAAAGTGCTACAAGTATAAAAAAACCCCTGATTCTGTGAACCATTTTCCTCTTCTCAGTTATAATTTCCAGCTTATCTGTTGGATGGTACTGTTGCCTTTGTACAGCCCTGCTGGGCCTGTGTAACAATGAAGAGGCCAGATGTGTGCTTCCCTGCCTCAGGCACCCTCAGTAGAATCAGGGCTTCTTCTCTGGGACTTGCATTGGTCCTGGTTATATGTGAAGTGAGAAGAACACAGCTTGCATTTCATTTGCCGTGCTGAGCTTGAGGAGCCAGCAATTATGAAAATCTTTATATTGGTGACATATTAAGTAGTGCAACCTTATGGGAAATCTCAATGACAACATAAAGAACCCTTTGATGTGTTTACAAGGATACATATATGGTTATAAAGTACTGTAGATGTGTTTGTGTTCTTTGGGTTCTTGTATCTGATCCTCTTCCACAAGCCATTACTAACCTTCAGAGCAACCTTCTGCTTACATTTTCCTGATACGTCCTACTTTCTTCTGAGGTTTTCCTGACATGCCAGCTTTAAAGTAGTTAATCCCTGGTGTGTTGAGAAATGTTTAATTCATGTTATTTTTACATCTCTATTTTTATTATCTAATTACAGCTTCCCCTCAATGTCTTCAATAATTACTTCAGCCTTGGATTTGATGCACATGTTACGCTGGAGTTCCATGAATCTAGAGGTAATAGGGACATTTTATTTCCTTAGCCTTGTGGATGGGCAGTTAATTCATGAATTAGAAATGGAGTTGGATTTGATATCCTGTTCTTATAATTCAGAAGGAAAGCTGGAACATAAAAACACAAGATACAATCACTTTCTTTCTTCTTGTATGTATCATGAGTTTCCAAGGGACTTTATAATTAAAAAGTGAAAAAAGTACAAGGAAGACTGTCATTTACTGGAGGAAAAGGACTAAAAGGGAAGATTTTTGAGGTTTTAGATCTTGTAAAGGAGATAAGTACAGACATAAAGGAAGTTAATGATGATGCAGAAATGTCAGAATAAGAGAAAGAAAAATAAGTTAGTTGCAAGTGTGGAGGTGGAGGGAGGAGAGGAGCTGCAAGACTGCAAGTAGCAGGAGGATAATCGTGTTCTCAAGCTAGAGGGCTGTTATCTATGGATGAGTACAGCACATTGACACTGGACTTGGTACAGACCCAGAGTGTCTCTATGCAAGTCAAAGGTTTTAATGTCCATAGAACTGTCAGGAACTGAGGAGTTGTAGCATCTTGTCTGTCCCTGTGCCAGTGGCAGTTTTACCACCCCATACAGGTTGAAATGTGGCTTAATTGGCTGGGTTCTGGACTGATGTGAACTGCTGTATTTATATGGTTTAGGCAGGAGTGCTTGTAGAAACAAATCTGGTTCAGTTCTCTATGTTCAGCTTTTGGTCATTCCAGCTTCATATGCAGGTATTTTTTTCTAAAACACAACCTCCCTTATCTTCACTGTCATACTATCAGTGTGTCATTTCAAGATGAAAAGACAGCACTCTAATGCCAGGCTAAATAAAGAGCAGGATAGATGATGGAATGAGCTAATGCATATTTTATAATGTTTAAGACTGCTTCAAGCTTTAGGAATAATAATGAGGGGCCACAAAAGGGCACAGGAATGAAATGATGACAGCTGTATGCATTTTTTTTATGAGTGCATATCACTATGCATTGCTAATGTGACTATGAATATACAGTATAGATTAAGTGCATGTCTACTTTCTCATTTAATGGAGGCATTATTTAATAATGAAGTTATGGAGCCCTATAAAGAATGAATGTTATTCCAGACATGCCAGTGTTTTAAAAATTTACATGAGTGAAAAAATACTTGGCAGAGCAAGCTGCATGTATGTGTGGCCAGGAGAGCTTTTTGTAGCACAAGTCTTTACTGTTGGTGGCTACCTTATCTTCTCAAATGCTAAAATATACAAAGTGAATACTATGTATTTTTAGGAGGGAAGCTTATAGCCTTGGAGATGTTGCTGGTGTGTGGGTTGTATTGTTTTTCTGAGGAATTGGGCTGGCTCTGCCTGGAGGAGAGAAGGTTCCCTGGAAACTTTATTGCAGCCTTTCAATACCTGAAGAGATCTTATAAGAAAGATGGAGCCAGATTTTTACCAGGACCTGTTGCAACAGGACAGGGGGTAATGGTTTTAAACAAAAAAGAGAGTAAATTTAGACTAGATATAAGGAAGAAGTTTTTAACAATGATGGTGATAAAACACCGGCACAGGTTGCCCAGAGAGGTGATGAATGCCCCATTCCTGGAAACACTCAACGTCAGGTTGGATTGAAAAGGCTCCAAGCAACTTGATCCAGTTGAAGATGTCTCTGTTCATTGCAGGGTAGTTGGACTAGATGTCCTTCAAAGTTCACTTCCAACTCGAAGTATTCTATGGTTCTGTGAAATAAGCAGCGCAAAGCAAATTCCAGTCTCTTTTACAAATGATGACAGCCCAGAGAAATTCTTAGCAACAGTAGCAAAGTGTAAAGCACTTTCACAGCTGTAGCACTTGGGCTATTAAGTGGCTGTGTGTAGTTGCTTATGTGGAGCTGTTGTAATCACATATACTATTAAAACAAACGAATACCATGCCTGCAAACCAAAATAAGATAAATTGATACGAACTCTCAACCTAGCAGGGCACTTTATGCAACAGAGGTTGGTCAGCTGTTATATTTAGCATAAGTACTGATTGCAGTGTCTCAGAGGAACTTGTACATGAATGTGGCCTTTTCCATGGCAACCTCTATACTTTTCTTGTGACTAATCAGATTGAGACTTGAGAGTTGGATCCAAACCTCATGTACTTAGCTCTGCATCTTCAGGAAGTGTTCTGGTTAGCTATTCCATTGCCATCCTTATACTTTGCTAGAGCACGGAAGATGCAATTTACTTTATCCCTGCTGACATGCTGTTTGATCCCTTGGCTCTGAAGGACTGTTCATTTGCAGGAAACCCCCCCCACACTGCACACACACAGAGTCTAACACATTCCATTCTCTGCTCCCTTGATAGTTTGAGAATGGTGAGGATGTAGTGAGCCTTGGATCTGCAGTCCGTTATTTACTTCTACAATCAAAGTTGCACTCTAATCAACTTTAGGCTCTATTCTATATCACAGAAAGAGTCCTTCCTCCCTACCCATGCTCATCTGTGATGTCAGAAATAGGAGCAGTACGTTGAGGACCTGCTGAGTCCCTGTCCTCAGAAAAAGCTCCTTTTCCATTCTAAACTAGGACTTTGGTTATGGTGAGCATTTGTCGTAAGATCCATGTAAGATCCAGTGCTCTGGTGGCTGCTGTCTGGAGCCATCAGGGATAGTCACATCAAAGAACGTGCAGAACAGGCACTAAACCTTTAGAAACCTTCTGCTGCTTGGTACAGGGTGTTGAGACCTTCTGCAAAGAACTGTGAGCTCAATAAGTGGGATAAGATTTATTTATGCAGTTAAATTAATTGTTTGAAGTAGAAGGGCCCCTGAGTGAGTTTGACTCACCTGACACAAAAGAAGGATGATACAGTAACTGAACAAGCAGTCAAATCAGAAACTTCAAGCAGCTCATTCTTACAAAATGGAGCCTTATATTGTGACATGTAGTGACTTCAAAGAGAACTAGAAGTATTGTTTTAAGTGGTCATTTGAGAAGTAATTTGAATGTGTTCGCACCAGTGTGATGCTTTAGCCAGAAGGACAGTCTTGGTAGTTGGATGTTTTCACTAGAGAATCACTGACCAAGGGTGGACAGTTGGTACTAACTTTGAATACAGTGCCAGAAGGTCTACTTCTGAAATCTCTTGATGCCACAGACTAGGAAAGCAGTTCCCAAGGAGAATGACCTGTATTCTGGGAAATGTGCCTTATAATGGGAGATTAAAGGAACTCCATTTAGCTTATTCAAAAGAAGGTTAAGAGGCAATTTAATCACTGCCTGTAAGTATTTACTCAAGGAGAAGATATCTGATAGTTGAAGGCTCTTTAATCTGACAGAGAAGTATAATAAGATTTAGCAGTTGGCAGTTGAAGACTGAAAAATTTCAAGAGAGGAATCCCCCACATTTACTTTAACAGTGAGAGTAATTAACCATTAGATGTGCATTACTACTAGACTTAAAATTCTCCATCACGTGGAATCTAATAAAAATGAAATGGTTTTCTGAATAGGTTTTAGAGTAACCACTATTTTTTTTAACTTGCTGCAGGAATATTTGGGTAGAAATGTCTGTTCCTCGGTAGCTCTTTAACACATCAGAATTTAAGTGTTTGTTTCATCTTGTAATTAACTAATGCTTTACTCCTGCTTAAAAACATGGCTTAGTGTTTCATAAATTTCTAATAATTCTTGGAAATTTTTTGTGCATTGGTGAAAACAGAAGTCTCAAATCGTACTGAGGGATCATAAGATGAGTAGTCTGAGAGGTGTTAAATTAACTGAATTCTTGTTACCTCTTTGCTTTTGTTTCCTTCTATTTTCACTCTCTGCAGGAAAGGGAATGAATTCAATATCAGTGTTTGAAATCTGATAGCAGATAAAGGAACAGATGGGGGACAGTCATGCAGGAAAAATGTATTTATGTTAATATTTTCACTGAGTGATATGTGCTAAAAGCACTATAGTGCTGGCAGGGAATGTGAAGGTGTAATGAAGTCTGTTTTATTAGGGTGTTCATATTTTTCTTTTTTATCCTTTCACAGAAGCAAATCCAGAGAAATTCAACAGCCGGTTTAGAAATAAAATGTTTTATGCAGGGGTGAGTTATGCTTTGTCTTACAGAACGGTGCTAACTTAGTTCCTTGAATGTTTGTTTAAGTATTTTCCTCCCCGCTTTCTCACGTCAGGAGCTCAGGCCAGTTCATTTTGCCCATTGCAATTTCAAGTGCACACACACAGGTGTCTGTTGGAAAGTGCCTTAAGTACAGGTGTTATACAGAGCTGAGCAGGTGAGAGAAATGCCACTACTTTGGACACAGTACCGGTCATATCTTGGTCCCCCTGCTTCTGGCTCATAAACTTCTCAAGAAATTGCTTCTCCTCTTTTAGGGTTTGGGAAGCACATGGATAGTGACTTTCCTAGAGGAATTCCCAAAGTTTTGGCCTGTATCTTTGTAGCTTTGAGGAACAGTCTTGGATGTAGGGTCATGGGGAGTAGAGAGCACAGATCAGGTATCTGGAGTGATTAATTTTCATGTATGAATATGCAAATAGAATTAACTGATTCTGCATTCAGGAGGTACATGGACAACACTTTATTCTAAAGTAATTAAGAGAGAAACACTAGTTTGATAATATATGACATATAATGTATTTCTGGATGATGACTCCCACTGTACCCATGTACCTTAAACATGGAAACAAGCAAGAATTTGCACTTAAATCCTTGGATGCCCAAGGACTTTTTTCAGTTAACCTCTGAAAGGGAGAAGTACCATAATTAAAAAAAGAAAATAATCACATCTTCTATGAGAATAAGTTTGATGAAAGAATGGCATTTTGGTAATGTACTGGGATAAGAAAAGAGAGGAATTGCTGCTGACAATTCCTGCACCTTTTTCTGTTGCAGGCAGCTTTTACAGACTTTCTGCAAAGAAGCTCAAGGGATTTATCCAAGCATGTTAAAGTTGTGGTAAGTATAGGAAATCATAGTGTCATAGTATTGTGGGAAGGGGGTGGGTGTGGGAGGTTGGAGAGAGCGTGAGGTGAGAGTTTAATGGCTCTGTTACTTTTCAGTTTTGAGCATGACATTTGCAACACATTCCAAGGAAAGTCTTGGGAAAGTTGTTACAAAGCAGCAACACTTCTCTTGTCTGTGGCTCCATTCAGCAATTTCTCTGTGCTCTGTCACTTTGGCTTTGTAGTGTGATGGTACAGACCTGACTCCAAAGATCCAGGAGCTGAAGTTCCAGTGTATAGTGTTTTTAAACATACCCAGGTAAGCTCAAGACAAATGCTTGAAGTTATAAAACAAAAATAATAATAATTTTTAAAAGAGATCTGCCAGTTATCCTAGACTGGGTGAATGTGCTGGAAGCATATTGCCACTGGGCTACCTTGTTGAGAGTTAGGTGCTTATAATACTGTTAATTAGCAATACAGAATGGCATCAGAGTACAGCGAAACCATCCTTCAAAAAGTTGAATATCCTGATGCGGTAGAAATGCTTAACAGACTCACTTTCAAAAGTTGTGCACCTAACCTGCAAACAAAATAGTAAGGAAATCCACAAATGTCTAGTCTTTTGCTTAATTAGAATCAAAGTGTGAAAGGAAGGAGGGAGGAGAGGGCAGAAGTGGAGGGAAGGATCAATATTTTTCCAGTAGAAGAACACCAAACTGTTGAAAGAAGTGCTGGGTTTTAGCATGTTACAAGGTGTCAACTAATAAAAATACAACTGTATTCTTAAAAGTTGTCAATCTCCTGCTTTCTAGAACAGTAGTCTCTAAACTTATTTTGACTGTGCAACCCTATCAGTAAAAATCTTTTGATAACCACCCCAATATGTAAGTATGTATATTTATTTTTAAATTATATACATGTACCACTATACTAATATTACACACAATATTAAGCAAACATAAATAATAAATTAAGAAAAGATATCATAAAAATGAAACAAACTTACTTTAATATTTGTTTTCTTATTTATTAAAAGTAAAAGCAATTCTTTTCTTCACACACACTAATTGTCTTGTCAACTGTGGATTTTTCTTGCATACACCCTGTGGTGTGTGCACCCCACTTTGGAGACCACTGCTTTAGACAAGCTACCACTTTGCTCCACGTGCAGTCCCAAGCACTCGATCTTTTGAGTCCCACGCTGCCTTCATTGCAAGCTTCTACTTGGTGTCACCTCTCCAAAGTTTCCCCTTCTATCACTCTCAGATCACTTCTACATCCATTCTTTAATGGTAGAAAAGGCAGATATTACAGCTGTATCTGTCCTGCTTCTTATTCTCCCTGCTACCTCTAATTATGCAATGTTTGGCATTCCTTGTGCTGTTAGAACTGCTGAGCTAGCAGGGAGAGAGGAAATGGAGCTCCAAGGCTGGAGTTGCTGCTGCAACCCCATGCCTGCCTAGCATAGGGGCAAAACAGCTTTATGTCTCAACAGGTCACCTGCAGGAATCAAAGCAAATAGGGAGAACAAAATGCTGCTGCTCTGTTACGTATTTCCTGGTGTTTCCCCCTTTTCCTCTCACAGAGGAACCTGATAAAGATTATGGTGGATATATCTGTGGGTGTTGTATAAGCTTGGAAAGAAACAGAACAGGCTAATAGGCTACTAGTCAGGACCCCCAGGGCCAACTGCTTTCTCAAACTTGCTTTCCAAACTTCTTTCTGTAGGTACTGTGCTGGCACAATGCCCTGGGGAAACCCTGGAGATCACAGAGACTTTGAGCCCCAGCGCCACGACGATGGCTACATTGAGGTCATTGGGTTCACCATGGCCTCTCTGGTGAGTGCATTGCAGGTGCTCCCCTGCCTGCAGGAGCTGCCAGACTCGGTGGACTCTGGGCAGCACGACAGAGCACAAAGCTGTTCTTGTTACCGAAGACAAGTGTGTTTCCATGTAGTCAGCCAAGGCCAAAACCTGTGCTGCAGTTAAACGACAGAGTCAAGCTATAGTTTTCTCATAAAAGAGGTGTTATTTAATAATAAAAGTGTATTCTTTGCAAAATAGGACTAATTTGCATGTGCAATGCTACCAACCTAAATGGCAAGATTATTACAGTAACAACACTACAATAAGAGCAGCATGCAGACATGATTTTACTGTGGGAATGTTCTGTGATGAAATAAATACTGCTTTTTCCTTTTAACTTTTGTATATTTCAATCTACAGCATAAAAATCCTTTTTTTTAAAATATCTGGCTGTTGTAAATAAATATGAACTATTATATAAAATTATATGCCCATACAGTTTCCAAATGCCCACTAAAAGTCCTGTGAAACTTCACTAATAGCTGTGGAAAACTTATTAAGATTTCTGGCATGAATATTATCTCTCCTTTTTATTTGCTAGGGAAAGGAAATTCAGCCAACAATTTAAATTTATCAATACACTTTCTGTCAATACTGTCTTTAAAGTGAACCAAAACAGTTACCACAAAAGCAATCTCAGTCCAATACCCTGATGTCCTGCTTATCACAGTGGTCAAAAACAGTGATACAGTGACATAATCTCATCAGAAGCTGATTAAATGCAGTCAGAGAGTTGGTAGTTAACCCTGTGCTAGCACTAGTCTACCTAGGGCACTGCAGCTTGAACTTGGTGTGGCCAGAAGAAGGCCCATATCTGGGCTTCTTGGCAGGCTTTTATAAATCACACTTAAGTCCATAACTTTAGGCCTTTGTTGCTGCTATGTCTTGTGTGAATGAGGTTAAAACTAGGTTTTCACTAAACTCACACACTTTTTGTGTGATCTGCCCCCAGTGCATATCACTTTCAGTGAATACCCACGACAATGGTGTTTGCTTCCTCAGAGAGAAATCCTGGCAAATCTAATATTCAAAGTAAGCAAAAGTAAAAGGCAGTCTTGATCAACAATCATTTCTCTAAAAGTCTGTCTGGGTTAAGGATTCTTTTTTGGCCTTCGTTTTTTTTTGATGGGTCAAGTGGATTAGGGAAATAACCTACAAATAAGAAAAATTTTGTTTGTTAACCTAATAGATCTTGTGGAGTAAACCTGAAGAATTTAGGGCATGTTTTTGAAAATGCTGTCAAATTCTATTTAGCATATAGCAACTGGCAGTTTTCAGCTGGAAGAGTTTTTGGGTTTGCCATTAATGTGACTCTAGCCAGTCAAAGTGGCTAGAGTGATCTCAGAAGCTACCAACAATTTCAGCTGGGGCTTAATTTGAGAAGTGGGGCTCTTTGAGCTGGTGTTTCTCTTTAAAGGAAGCCTAGGATCTACAGTTTTACTTTGGTTGTGATGCTGAGGAATCTCTGTAATCCTAGGCTGTATTGATATAATCCTGGCTTGCTCTGTATATCTCTCAGATGTGCTTGCTCATACCTAAGAAGGTCTGTGAAAACAAGGGAGAGAATTGCTTTATAAGAACTATTATTATATTATTGATCATAATTTCAGTTGATCCATAATATTAAGTGCACAGAGCAGGGTTAGGGTCTTGACTTGTGTTTAGGCTGTTCTCTGTTAGTGCTGCATTAATATAAGATTTTTTTTCTGCATCTGATAGATGAGAATTAATAGTCTCATAGTAGTCATACCATTAAAAAATACATTTCTGCCCAAATATATCTTCCCAGAACTTGAAGAATCTGCTCATTGTCTTCCTTGCCTAATTTCTTTGAAATCAATTCTTAAACATGGTATTTAATTATTTTTAAAAAGGTCCTTCTACTTGCTCTTTTCAACCTGTCTAATGTTGAGGTTGACTTGCTGTGTAAGCTTTCATAATAAGGATTTTAAATTGATCTAATTCATATTAAGGACTATTCTGTTCAGGAAGGGAAAATAATTTTTCTGCATCGCAAATGTCTCTAATTAGGGTTGTTGTTTTAAAAAGCAAATAATTATTAGCATTACTGTTAGTGTAAAAACAAACCAACCAAAACAAATTGAAACCTTTAAGAATGAAAGAACGAACCCAATTATTCATTTGTGCATGCACGTGTGTGCACATATAGGTGTGTGTGCACATATAGGTGATGAGACAGGCAGTGCATGTGTTTAGATATCTGCTTGTTGCCCACCATTTTTCTTTATGAAATTTCAATTTCTGCTTTGCAATTTTTGGGTGAATCATTGTGCTCTTTTAGCATATCTTAGGCATGGAGCGCTGTGTAATGGATGCTACCATCAAAGCTGCTTTTTGGATTTGTTAGCTGCCTGAACTATCTGTTATGAGGTGTCTTTTCTCTCTCTTTCCTTCTTGGTTTTTATTTGGTTTTTGTTTGTTTGTTTATTTTCTTCCAGGCTGCTCTCCAGGTGGGTGGTCATGGAGAGAGGTTGCACCAGTGCCGTGAGGTGACACTTTTAACGTACAAGTCTATCCCCATGCAAGTGGATGGGGAACCGTGTCGATTGGCCCCCTCACTCATTCGGATCTCCTTAAGGAACCAAGCCAACATGGTGCAGAAGAGCAAGAGGAGGACATCTATGCCTTTGCTGAATGAGTGAGTTGGATACATGCATGTCCTAATGGCAGGAGCCCGTTTGGGGCAGCATATTTGGTGATGGATTTTGCATGTACTGGACTTGCAGAGCATTTGAAAAATAAATTAAAAAAAAAATCACATCTTCTGAACTTCCTTTTCGCTGTATTGTAAATACTTACCTGACTTTCTTTTACTCTTTATCTTCTGGGTTACCCTCTCTCTTGCTTTTAGACTGGTGCTGTGCCTTTCTGTTATTTATTTAGAGAGGTTTGTGCAGGCTCAGCGTTGTGCCTCCTGGCTTCTGACAGTTCTGCATATGTATGCCATTGCTCTTGAAGTTATTTTGATTTATTTTCTCAACTTTATTGATCTGCTTTTTAAGCTTCATTGTAGACCCTATAAGAAATTACCAGAATCAAGAATTACTCAGGATATTTTGCAGTCTCTGTTGTGGGACCATGCTGCCTGGCACTGTTTATGGAGAAAGACCTGAAGGTCCAAGAAGGACTGTTTGTACTTTGTAGGAACCCTTCTTCACTACAGAAACCCAAATGAGAAATGAGCATTGTAAAGATAAATAGAGAAAGGCTAAGAAAACTGGAAATGAGGGATATGTGAAGAGGAAAGCACAGAATTAACATTCTTTTAGTGGTTAAAAGTTATTCATAAGCACTGCAGACAAATCTTTAATAAAAGAAACCTAAATATTCAAATTTTGACCTGTGAAAATGGCCATCCAGTAAAATAATTTAGATTATTTTGTAGAGGTTATTATTGTACTTCTTGTGTAGGTCTTTACTGCTGCTATAATGAGTGACATTGTAAGTGCCTTTGCTGTTTTTCATCAATTATACAAAAGGTGAAGCAAAGCAGTCTGACCTGTATACAAAGACACTGAGCTAGAGGCCTAAAGTTATCAAGGATCCACATTTAATTTGGACAGCTATGCAGTGAGACCTTAATTTTTCTGAGGAGGTGGGTGTGGAATTTTGCTGTTACAGTTGTAGTGGTGAGGCAAGTTTTATGGAGAGGTGTAATACTTTTCACTAGACTAACTCATATAACTTGAAAAAAAAGACAAGGTCTGAGGCACACCTTTTCTCTTCAGGTATCTTAAAAGTAGCCTCTCTCTTTCAGTTGTGTATCTAGTGGAAGATACTGCTTTACTTCAAACTTTGACTCCTGTCCTGTAGAGTTGTTTGTCATCCCCTGGTTGTCAATCTGTTCAGGTAATCAAAGGCTCCCTGGTTACCTTCAACATGCTCCTATTCAATTTAGCACTCTGCTCCCTTACTGACACTAATGCTTTAAGTTTCAGTAGAAACCCATCTCTCTAAGGTGCAACTTCTGTTTGCCTGCAAAATACGTGAGGTATACTCATCTTTTTTAAGCAGTGAAGAACAGCAGAATCTTGCCTGTGGGCAGCAGTGCCCGATTTCACCCAACCACCCTTCTTTGATCATTTGTGAGAGGTAGAATCGAGCAGAGGGCAGTCCTGGGGCATCTTTTTCTGCACTGAGGGAGACTAATGCAAATATAAAAAGAAAATTCGTGGTGTTTTGATCTCCTAATTAGCACAGTTAGGTTTGGATTTTGAGACCTGAATTTCAGCTATGGTAAGGAAATACAGATTTGTGGTATATGCTAGTTGTCAAAGGGATATTCTTTGTGGTTTAGCTTGATTTAAATGTACTACTGTACACTAAATGGCTGTCAGAGTCCTTTGATTTGGCTGAGGTATTTTTCTGCAGGCCTGTGTCTTGGGAAAATACACATGGTTTGTCAGGAACTCTAGTCTCAGATTCACATATCAGAAATGATGTGTGTATATATATTTACATCTATATCTGTATATGTTTGTGTATGTATTTTGCTCTCAAGTGCTGAAGGGGAAGGAGAGAGGAATTGAATCTCCTGGCATGATAAAAAGTAAATAGAATGCTAAAGGTTAAAGTCTAGGAAGCGTATCGGTGTTGTAAGAAGTTCATACAAAATGATGCTGATTTGCAGTATTGCTCAAGAGAGAAAATTTTCAATTAAATATGTTTCTTAACTTGATATCTGGGATACTTCTCCTTGTTCCGTTGAAATCTCCCAGAAAGACTTATATTTGATTGAACATGATAGACTGTTCTTTTATGACTATCATTTGAATGTTAGATGTGTGAGATAAGTAAGTGGGTCTAGAGCTATCCCTAATTATTAGACAGCTTGAGCTCCTTGCCAGGAAAGCAATTAGAAAATTATCTTGGGTCGCAGTAATGCGGAGTTACTATTATTGCCAACTTTGATATTATTGATAGTTAAGAAAAACAGTGGGAATGCTCTTTGGAGTTTAGTTAGACTAGTGTCATAAGTAGAGAAAGACTTAATTTGAAGAAGTCTTACACTTTTTTTTTATCCTATTCTCTTTTGTTCTGGAGGTTTGGGATTTTTTCTTAAAAACTTAAAAGAGTTTCCCTAAAAATCTTGCTAGCTAAGTTCTCATTCCTGGTCTCCACTGTTAATCATGGTAGCATGGGAAAGAGACAATCATGGTAGCTTGGTTCTCTGTGATCAAGCCAAGGCTGTGATTGGTACTTGTGAGCTATACCAAAAATTGTAGGGAATAGGAAGAGAAACTGTGGTTCAATTTTTCTAGAAATAATTTTCTGAATGAATACTTTCTGAATCTCAAAGCATGGTATTTTGTTTTCACTGACTTTTAGTTTAGGTTGAGGAAGAATATCCTGCCTAATGGAAGAGAAAGGAGAGGGAAGAGCTTATAGATAAAACATATTCCATACATTTGAGAGAAAGAAAGGGACCATTTGAGTGTAAACACTAAAGGAGAGTTAATATTGAGAGTCACTATATGTAAAATGCGTGTTTCCCTAAGGTACATGAAAGAAGAATGGAAAAAACAATTTATCCTTGTGGATACAAAATCTTCAGTAAGGGTATTTCTTTATCTTAAACAGTAACTGAAGATGGTCAACTTTGGGAGGCAATTCCATCCATTCAGATCTTGGCTTTGATGTTTGTTTGCATTTTTGGACCTGCTTCCAAAGGCTGTTGCCTTGAAATTTTTCAGTGCCTGTGGAAGAAATTCTGGGGCCCTTCATCTTTCTTGTATAGTCATGTGCCTAGCTTGTCGTTGGTCCTCCTCACTCGTGTCTTTGGAAGGCTCCTGTGTGCCACGTAGCAGTGATTTTCTCCATTTGCATGTCTTCTGTTGCTCTTGGCTTTCTAGTGTGAACTCAGAGCTCTGCATGTCTCTTCATTCAACTTTTATGTGACACATTCCTTTTGTTTCTGTTTAAATGTTGTATGTCTTTCTCTTTCTTTCTTTCTTCTGTTCGACTCCTCTTTCTCTCTCTCTGTCTCTTCCCTGTCTTTTTTCTTGTCTGTCCACACTGTGTGCTGTTTTTCTCCTGGCCACTCATTTCCTGCTGCCTTATAGTATCCATAAAGTGCAGTCTGCTGACCTGAGGAGAGTCTCGGCTCCCCCTGATTCCTTCACTGTGTGAGTATCCAGCTTTTTTCTATTTTAAAGTTCCATAGTTTTTTGTTGTTACCCTGTGTCATTCAGCCAGGAGATGGGGCACTAAAATCCAGTGACAAATGGGAAGAGGGAGCTCAGGTGACAGGACGACAGGCACAGGATCTTGCCAACAAGGGCACAGTTCCACAGTACCTAAATAAGGTGAGCAGGACGTGTCTGGTGATGGTGACCGGGTTCAGCCATTAGTCCAACTCACCAGAAATCCATAGCAACAGGCAGGTCTGAAGTTAAGTGCCAGGCACCATCCCTGGAAACAGTTGAGTTGAGAGCTTTTCTATCCAACACAGGAGGTTTTCTCTGAACATGAGGAAAAATGCTTTTTACTGTAAGGTTGACAGAGCACTGGCACAGATTGCCAAGAAAGGTTGTGGAATCTCCATCCTTAGAGGTATGCAAAGCCTGCCTGGATGTGGTCGTGGGCAGCCTGCTCTTGGTGGCCCTGCTTTAGCATGGGTTTCATCAGATGACCTCCAGAGGTCTCTTCCAGCTTCAGCCATGCTGTGGTCCTGTGAAAGCTGCAAGTTCCTCATTGTTATTTTGTAAATAAGGAAAGATTTCCAATTTGGTGTGCCTTGTCCCGGGATCATATTTGCTGTACTCTACTGAGGAGCATAATGTAATAAAACCAACTATGTCTCATCAATTCAGTATCTAAACAAACCTCTAGAAAAAAGTTGAGATAACTCTTATTGCTTACACAGAACATTAAACTGGGGGTCTGGGAGAACAGGTATTGTCTCTAGGCTGAGGGATATCCCTTGGAAAATGACCTCCAAATTTTGGTACTCTTCATTTGAATGTCTCATTTGATATCAGCTGTCAGGATAAAGCAGGGAGAGAGAGACTTGTGAGCCCCAAATTAATTTGGAAGTCAAAGATGTACTATATCTTAAAATCTGTAAAAATAGATGAAACATACTGCTGCACTGTGGCTGCCAATTAATGTGTCTGGCAAATTAAAATAAGAACCTATGAGGTATCAGGGAAATTTGCTTTGAATTATGATGGCTTTGAGATTCAAATATTCCTTTGTTTCTGTGTTGAACAACATAGAATGAATCTGAGTTCCTGCTAGTACTGAACAGCAGGGCAGATTCTGCTGAGACCTGGAGGTGGATATAGCCTGTCTTAGATAAATTTCAGGATTTCTGCAGCAGGAGATGCATGGGAATTTGAGCAGCCAAAATTATTAGGTATATATGGTCTTTGTTGCAGAGACAGTAGAAGTGTAGTGTGATCCTTTGCAAATGTTTATACAAGGTGCATAAGGAAATACAAATGTTGTATTTTTAATTGAGAGTCTTTTAAAAGGAAGGTAAAGACCTGCATTTTCCAGCTGGATATTCAGAAACGAGGAGATGCACATTTGTGTTGTGTGGTTGACGTAAAGGAACACTGAAAAAAAAATTACCATTTAAAAATAAAACATAATTGACTTGCATAGCTCCTATAGTCCTTTTACAAGTGGAATAAG